AATAGAAACCAAAATCATTTGCCACCAGCCAAATAAACAGAATTGAGAGGCTATCACTTCAACCAATAAAAAAAGGAGCTTATTCAAGGCAGGTGGTCCCATGTTGCAGTGTTTCAATACAAAATGATTTAGCATGCATAAATTTGGTCTCCTCTCGTACAACTATTTAGCGTGGGTTTTCTGAAATGATTTTCTAAGTGGCAGTCTTTAAACACACAACTTCTTGTTTATTCTTACGTAAGGGTGGTCTCTTAAAACACGTTTCTCCCAAATGCTCTTGCGCAAGAGTTGGCTTCTCCTGGCAGGTCTAAACTTACAGGTATGAAGATTTGAAAGGTGATTTGCCTTTCTGTAGATTATAATACAGCACAGTAATAGTTGAAAATTAAGAACATGTAAGTCAATAATATGTTGAAATAAAGAATTAGCACGACGGTGTTGGTGTAGTTTTGCGGTTTTACCAATGGTTAGCATGTTTTAGGATACAAATAAGACGAACAGAACTTTCTGAATGGTCGAGAGCTTTCCAGGGCGAACGATATGATAGTATCTAACTGAAGAATCGACTTGTGATAAATGACAGACTACTCAAGCATCACAAGGAACCAGTGCCTTGTACAGTGAAGTCATGGTGTATGATAACAGTTAGGATTGAGAAAGTGACACGGCTTATACCACGACAAATTTAAGCAGCATTGGTCTTTAGCAGGGCATCATTTTGTGCCAATGAATTCTACAACATTGGTCTTTTTATTGAAATATCTAGCAGCAAACCATGTTTTACAGAAATGAACAAATTAACAAAATGACATTAACTCATTCACCCCTGAAGACACATTTGAACTCTTCCAATTCAAAGGTTGGAATAGTTTATCATGAAATTTCAGGGGTGAATGAGTTAAACAGATTATTGACTAGTGAGTTTATGCATGGTACCGATTTTATTCCCAACAGTACTGAATTTGATAATAAATTCCAGCTTAACTTATATCATAATCAAACCACCGGTCAATGCCATTGAAATATTGTACTATTAATTCCATTCGACAGGCTCATGCATACATATAAACTGGACATGTGCTACAAATGTAACTGTAAACTATCGAAGTTTGATAGCATATGAAGTCTGATTGAGTTTGAATTTTATCTAGAATTCAAAAGAACTGCTGTCTAACACTACAGTCAACACTTTAAATTGGTTTTAGAAATTAAAAAAAATAAAATAGAAATAAAAATAATAATATGGTATTGAGGAAAAGCCCCTGGATGTCCACTTTGTGCATCTGCTCAATGTTAAAATAGGAGCAGATACCTAGTAAGTGAAAAATGGTGGAGGTTTTGGCATTACAGTGGTTCTGGGGCATTTAAATGGTTCACAAATCTAGTTCCGAGATAACTATACAGGAAAGATAAGACTTATTTTTATGGATAATCCTACCATTACATAATAACTTAAATCTAAAACAAATCTGAATAAACAGGATTTGATATATCTTTTAAAAATGTCATTTACAACTGACCATTAACACTGTAGGTGCTCACTGAAAGTATAACTTATTTTTTACAAGTGTTTACTGATTATAGAAGGGTTCAGTTAACGAAGATAAAACAATACATGTACTAAATTTCACGTTTTTTGACATCAATGAATTGTAAAAGATTGGAATAAAACATATCCTTATAGTATGGTTGATATTGTGGGATGTCATCTATAAACAAAGCCCTAGATGATCTGTTTACTTTTCCCAGTCTACCAATTAGAACATTGGATTCTTAGCTATGTAAATTAGCTGTATATAAACTTGAACAAATTATATAGGGATATAATGGCTTGTGTTAACTGCATTGTTACCTATAGTTAAAAATATCTCCATGAATACATTATTGTTTATTTTTAACAGATATCTTAGGTTTCAAGTAAATATTCCACTACATTTGAAATTTGAGACCACTAAACGAAATAACAAGCTGCTCTTCTCGAAATATGATATATTTTACTGACATACAACAGCACAAGGTCAAGTTTCATATTAAACAAAAGTAATTTAGGTGAAAAACAAATAACTCAATTATTAAGGAGTAACAGATTCAGCAGTAAGTAACAGTAAAAACAAAAGATTGCATTTACAACATTCAAATTTAAAAAAAAATATAACTTTAACCCTTTCACCCCTTTGTAACTTTAATAAACTCTACCATGCATTGATCTGGGTAATTCCATTATGGTCTACAGTGGTGAAAGGGTTAAACATAACCTGAATCTCTTATAGCAAGATTGGAAAAACCCACATGGTTTTGATAAGACATGAAACTGTTAGACTTTAAAAAAAAAAAAAAAAAAAAAAAAAAGATGAAAAATACATGAAGGGCTTCAAATAATAATTTTGATATAACAGATATCCACCAACAGTCATGGGAAGTTTTAGACTACATACTGTTATTAACAATACAAATGGAAATATATATATATATATATACCCATCATTCTTTACAAGGATAAAAAGGGCAGGCATAATACTTTTTGTATAGAATTTTCCCTGTTTAATAGTTTCTAGAGTACAACAGAACCGTTTCTATTATGGCACAAATTATGTTTCGCACACAATCAAAGTGTTCAGCTTTAAATCAAAATCAAAATTTGGAATCAATTATTTTATTTTATTGTTATACAAATATAATTAATTGAAGCTAAACGATGCATCAAAATTTTGCCTGTCTGGAAAAAAAATCCCCTAATAAAGCAACTTTCTAGCAATATTTGTAAAACATACATAATGAAATGATGTTCAATGTAAAGTCTTACCAAAGATACTGAAGCAAAACCTAAGTAACAGTGACCTACATTTGATATATTGGTGTAGTACTTCTGAAGGTGAATCTACTAAAGTCTGATGACTTTTGGACTTCTAGTATTAGGGCTATGGAGCTAAATACGAAGTCTAACTAAAATGTCGTACCAAAGGACCCACAGAACGATGCAAAAAGCAAACACGTAGTTTCCCCCTTCCAATATATAGCAAGGAACATAATAAATAATGAAAACCTTAATAACAACATCCTCTGTACTGTTGAAAGCCTCAATACTATCCTGGTCAGATACAGTGAAATCTGTTCGAGAGACAACTCTTAAGAAGAAATTCTTTCTCAAGAGACCAACATTTTCACATTCCCCGCCAAGCAGATTACTATTTAATAAAAATTCTATTAAACAGTCTACTCTGTTAAAAGACAACTATTAAGCCTTCCCTTTTGTGGTCTCTTAATACAGATTCTACTGTATAGGAAACAAGATTATCCTGGTGGTCTTCATTTCAGAAACCTGTTTTTGGAAATGTGGTACCGCTGTGGTATGTAAATACCTACAGAACTTACCATACCTTTTACGAGGAAGATGAATGCATGCATGTGTACAACCTTATTTTGCTTCCAATAAAATTCAAAGTATTTACAAAAATAATAATGCACTAATCGTTTTCCACATATGTATATATATATATTTAATGAATATGTACCTACAGGCCCCTAAAGATGATTCACTGGCATTGATCCTGTACTGCAGTCCTAACCATTAACTCTAGCGTAAGTTAGACATCAGGTCTGCTGCTAACTTATCAGTACTGCAGTCCTAACCATTAACTCTAGCATAAGTTAGACATCAGGTCTGCTGCTAATTTATCAGTACTGCAGTCCTAACCATTAACTCTAGCATAAGTTAGACATCAGGTTTTCTGCTAATTTATCAAAGTATACCTTAACAGTCTACACTTCATATTATAAATTATTGAATGAAATTGCTCACTTTTTAATTATAACATCTTAATTTTTTAAATATGATTAAAACGTTAATTAATGTACAATAGTTGTTGATTTCTCCAGGAAATTAACATTCTTAATTCAGATTATTGCACTTGACATTTTACTGGCCTAACTAAGTCATGGATTGTGTTACCATGGATACGGAATAACAAACAAGTCGGTAATATAAATAGCTATGTGGGACATTAAACCTTTCAGACCATTGCCTCTGCAGTTCCTTGATGCTACCTTCACTGGCCTAAAAAAACAAATTACATAATTTTTCTTCATTACTAAATTAACTATTCAGAAAAAAACGAAAAGGTGTTCCAGAGCTGATGATATTTTTACAAATAACAGATTTGCAACATTCAAAAATAAAAAAATTAAGATCAATGTTTCAACTTGTCTGATTAAAATGCCTCAAACTATTTTTTTGAGATTCTTAACAGTAATATCTTTTATTTTAGGGGAGTACGACCAGCATATTCCCCGTAATAACCTGAACCTGTATCCCGTGACCCAGTAACAAAATAACATAAACAACAGTATATATATATGCTAATCTTCTCGATCTCATCATGTTTTGCACAAAATGATGCTTAACTACAGTTTTTTCTTTTAGTAAGTAAAACAGTTGCACCATGTCGACCGTTTTGATAACATTGCGGATCACTTTTGATGACTTTGGCAAGAAGCTGAAATGTGTAATATTTAACGCAGTGATAACTCATCATTTAATCCAAACCAAAGAGAAAAAGAGAGAAGTAGAACTTATAACCTCATTTGTATGAAGCTTTAACTAATTCTACAATTTGTGTGAATAAAAATGTGGTCAACAGATTCATGCAATAACTTAAAAAAAAAAAAAAAATGGCCAAGAACACATTTATTTCCTGTGATATGGTCTATAATTTCTAAACCGCAAAGAGAAGTTTGGCATGAAAAATATGTAAACAACTGGGGATATAATGGTTAATTTAAACATGAATTGATTTACCAGAGGTCTGAGAAATTTATTTAACAATACATTAATCATTTCAAAGGCGATACCTATGATTTTTCTTCACAGACAGATAATTAATTGTAACACGGAAGGCCGAAATAATGATAACATTTATTCCTGGTGATGATGCTGCAGCGTGACGAAGTAAACCATGTGATGACCGTAGATAAACAACCTAATGCTACTTGTCCATTTCCTCATTATAGATTTAAGTTTATTTACACAAAAAAAGCACATTCATCTACTTCTGAACTAATATCAAGAACGCTAAAAAGGTCTGACGACCATTTAACAAATGAAATATATTAGGTTACTTTGAAGCCTATTCAGAAATCTTTGACTTTAAAAAATAAAAGTCTTGTCAAATAGTTCAGCCCAATATAAGCTTACCCTTTACCACAGAGGCTTGGTCCATTACAACTAAAGGGTAGTCACACGAGGATGTATCGCTAAGCAACAGATGTAAAACTATCCCCGTGGTAACAGGGTTCTAGATAGCTAGGTCTATTTATGAAGTGGTTTTTATACATTATCTATTAATATAGAATGCTGAAAATATATATATAGTGAAAAAAAAATAAAAAAATCCACAGTAAGCATCATGCACAAATATCTGTTTAGCTCCTGATTGTAATCTTGCATTAGGTCATAGCAACCATCCATACATCCATGACATCATATATACATAAATATACATTAATTATAGCAAATATATGTATGTATATATAAATGTATAATACAGCAATACAACGAAACGTCATTGTAATAACAGTGACAGCCATGTTGTCATATGTATATGTATTTATATAGAATAGCTACACAGCATTAGTGACTCAAAAAAAATAAAAAAATTGAAATATCATGTCAAACATACATCTTAGTTTACTGCAGGTTATAACATTATAAACAGGTGATATACATAAATGGCAATCATAGATATATCGTAAATGGGTGATATATATATATGTTATATGTACGTAAAATGGCAATAGTTATAACAGATATTGGTATTATATTGACTAGGTTACAACCGTGTTCAGTACCAATGCTGTCAAGATCATATAACAATGAAACTTGGTGATAGGACATGGTCAAAATGACAGACTGTACAGACAACTTATACACTACACAATAAATGAAGGTATCACAATGCCTATAGCTTCTTCAGTAGTTTTTCCACATATAATATTACTTCCAGTTTTGTCCGCTAGATAATCTTCAATTTGATTATAACATTGATTTGATAATTATCTTAGTGTTAAACTACTTATGCTGATACCAGATTAAAAGCACTGTATGTACATGTACATGTGTCCAAGTTACTTAGGTAGAATAGAATCCTCCTCCCCAATAACAGATATCACATTGTAAACTTTAAACAAACAAAAAGTTACATAATTGTCACCAACACCCCATTATGGTTCCATTGCTTCAGTACATTTTTACCTAATGTTGGCGATTAGACAAAGCCATCATTACAGATCTATATCATTATAAGGCATGAAACAAATTTCTTTGACAGGTAGGCTTGTGTTTGAACCTTGTTTACAATTTACTAACACTTCGGATACAAGCAAAGAAAACACGGTGGTCATATATATATGGTCAACAGTTGGTAACAGGATTCACCCCTACAAATTTTAAATGGACTTGCCCAGTCTTTGATTTGGTAAGGTTAAATACAACTTTAGGGGTGAATGCGTTTATTATCAAAGCATTCTAACAACAGTAAATTTTCCTATATACAATTTTACACTGTCATCAAAATTTTATTATCCAAGTCCAAACAACTGTTCATGAAAGGTGCTTTCCTGGTTTATTGGGGTAGAACTCTCTTGGAGAAAGAGATATGTTTGTTACATTAAGGTGGCATATATACCCTTAATATCCTGATATGACAGTGTCTGCTGGTTTAAACATTTTCATCACATTTTCAATATGATTATTTCATTGATTGATTGATAACTATTGTAAATAATAACACTGACTGACAATTAATGCAGATCTAAAGACAACATTTTTACATTAAGCTTCATTTAATTAAGGTTTACCAGAATATCACAATTCTCTAAAGAGACTTTTTCATCCTGAAAATTCATCAATGCATTATATTTGCCAACATAATTAAGCCCATATAGATATTTATGCAACTTTTAACCTTACTGAAGAATGATTGTTGCTTGAGAGGAAAATAAACGATTTATACTTAGCCACCCAGACACCCACTGTGATAATTATGACTAATGGAAAAATAATGTTTCGATTGAAAAATAATGTCATGATGTTTCAGCACAATATATGAATTGGAAGATGTACATATCATGGAAAAAAGGCAAAAAAGTTACCCAACACTGACAAATTAGCCAATTCATGACAATGTAACAGAAATGCACATTTTAACCCAGCCCGTTCCATTATCTAGATGAAAAACATGTGTAACTCCATCCAGTTTCCCTCTTTTCCATCTCTGACTATAGCAACAGTGGAAAAACTCTTTTTGTGGTGTAATTTTTGTTTAACTGGACACAGTAACTTAAGCAAACACTTTTCAAAAGGCGAACCATCAATTTAAGTCAAGCCTCCAATAAAGAAATGTATACACACAACTAGATTTCATAGTCAAACACAACAGCTGAGACTGGTCACTTTTCCAGATGACTAGTGGTCACTTTTCCAGATGACCACCAGTCCAGCTCCTCATTGATTTCAAGGTCAAAGATAATGACCAATTGGTGCAAGAGTCTCTAGTGATTTAGTAAATATCCAATCCCAGAATGCCACAGATTTACCATTATGGACGAGGACTCAAGTCAATTTATCACAATACAGTCCGATCCAAGGAACCAATTAAATCTCTCCGTCTTTACAGGTCCATGTTCCATGGAACCAATTAAATCTCTGTCTTTGCAGGTTCATGATCCGAGGTCCAATTAAATCTCTCCTTCTTTGCAGGTACATGATAAACAAATCAACCAAATCTCTCCTTTGCAGGTCCATTAAAAGGAATCAACGAAATATCTCCTTGTTTACAGGTTCATTGACAGGTGCTTTCAAACACTAGATTCCTGTATTTGGACCATATACCTCTGTAACGGAGAATCTTCACGACAAATATGAAGGATTCCAAGTCAATGATTCTGTGATAACTTGACAAGTAACTGACGTTTACTTTCTAGCACTGTATATATCATTTGGCTTTCGTCTCGTAACAATCTGCTACAAGATTTTTTAGTCTTTAAAATTTAAAGAAACAAAAAGTAAACCGTCCTTTTTCTTTTAAAAAACATCTCTCATAAGTCGTCATGTCGCCCCGAATGACTGGAAGTGTAGAGAATAATTTGTTGTGCCACGAAGGCTACAAGGCAAGCAAATACGACAAAACCAAGCAATATGATCATTGCCCACTGTTGGTCAGATAGTTGTTTTGGTTCAACGATTTTTGTCTCCAAGTGTTTGGGCTCTAAGCTTGTAGCAGGTTCCAAGCTCTGTGTGCTGAACGTTACACTTGGACTGAATGGACCAATCACGTCGTCTGATTTGTCCACACACTGTCGTACAGCACATACTCGTATCGTATATTCTGTCTTTGGACTGAGCGTGTGTAGGCTGTATAAAGTAGCAGGGCCTTTGTACATCTGCAATGAAAAACCACAAAGTAGAGTATCACTTTAGAGGGCATACATTTGATTTGTACATACATCACTCAACGCCTGCATATAGGATAAAAACTAGTCAACATATTTCTGAAAAACAAAGAGCCAGTGAAACTGTCCGTCATTCTTGCAAATTATTATCATATTACAAAAATAATATTGAGAAAAATCAACCTTGTGCTTTTTTTGTGTAAATCTGCAAAATATTGAACCTTTTATGATTTAAAAATTATCATTTGCAGACCATATTTTTTATGGTTAAGTACATGAACATTCTTGCTTATCACCAAACAATGTGCTCATGATAAACTTTCTTGAAACAATTAGGAGATTGTTACATGTAATGCCGTAAACCAAAATATCGTAAAATATCAATTGCAATCCTAGATTAAATTTTTTCCTCCATAAATCTTAACATTACGCAGTAGATTCATTCTGCTTCATATCAAATTCCTTCACTCTGATTCAATATGGTGTAGGATCTAACAATTCTGCAGCAGAGGTCATGACCTTTCATTTTAATACCTAGCTATTTAACAATGGCATTGTCAAATCTCACAATTGCTCAGCGATATTTCAGCAGCAGTCATGTTTATTCATATCGGATATTGTAGTTCCGGTCGGTATACCTACACATTTTTCAATTTAAGGGCTGCTGATTGGCCAGATCCAAAGGTCATTGAAACATGACCTTTGCAGTGGTATGGTCCTATCCAAAATCGTAGTGTATGTTAATGACCAAAATGAAGAGTCAGTGTGGCAAACTTTAAACATAGAAAAGTATCTAAGGGGAGGCAATTCCAAATTTGACACAAAAGCAAGGGCAACAATTCAATTCTGGTCAACGAGTATTTACTGACCTGTTTGTACTCATGGTCCCGACACTGTAGCTGTAGGATGTATACAATGCCGTCTGAGCCCATCGGCCGGACACTTGTCCAATCCACCATGCAGCTAGTCAGCTGTACATCCTGGACCTTGGGAGCTAGGAGTAACAAACATAGTAATTATCTTAATTCACTTTGTATCATGGAGACAAAGTAACAAATGTAGTAACATCAGACTTAATATCTATATTGGCATTAAAGTGTCACACATAGAACTAGTGTCGGACACTTTCTATCTGGGAGACAAAGTAACAAGGGTAGTAAGATCAGACTTAATATCTATATTGGCATTAGCGTGTCACACATAGAACTAGTGTCGGACACTTTCTATCTGGGAGACAAAGTAACAAATGTAGTAACATCAGACTTAATATCTATATTGGCATTAAAGCGTCACACATAGAACTAGTGTCGGACACTAGCTATCTGGGAGACAAAGTAACAAGGGTAGTAACATCAGACTTAATATCTAAATTGGCATTAAAGTGTCACACATAGAACTAGTGTCGGACACTTTCTATCTGGGAGACAAAGTAGCAAGGGTAGTAACATCAGACTTAATAGCTATATTGGCATTAACGTGTCACACATAGAACTAGTGTCGGACACTTTCTATCTGGGAGACAAAGTAGCAAGGGTAGTAACATCAGACTTAATAGCTATATTGGCATTAACGTGTCACACATAGAACTAGTGTCGGACACTTTCTATCTGGGAGACAAAGTAGCAAGGGTAGTAACATCAGACTTAATAGCTATATTGGCATTAACGTGTCACACATAGAACTAGTGTCGGACACTTTCTGTCTGGGAGACAAAGTAACAAGGGTAGTAACATCCGACTTAATATCTATATTGGCATTAAAGTGTCACACATAGAACTAGTGTCGGACACTTTCTATCTGGGAGACAAAGTAACAAATGTACTAACATCAGACTTAATATCTATATTGGCATTAAAGTGTCACACATAGAACTAGTGTAGGACACTTTCTATCTGGAACACAAAGTCTACACATCTATTGTTATAATTATAACTTTCTCCTAGTACTGGTCTCCAGACCTTTTTTTCTTGTTACCTTTCAAAGCCGGTGGAGGTGCCTTTGTTGTGTTAAATGTGAAAATCTCTGAATAGGGTCCATTCCCTGCCACATTACTGGCGAATATTCTAAAGTCGTAACTCGACATCTCTGTGAGTTTGTTGACCTTGTAGGCGTGGGCTGGACCGCTGTACACGGACTGGAAGCTACAACACCACCACAAAACACACCAATCAGTATCATTCTGGGGGTTTTCTGATTTTATTTTTATCGGTGCCAATTTTGCTTTTGTGTTGCTCATTTGATAAAGAAAGGTGATTCAACAAACGGATGAACTTGCAGTTTGATGAACTTTCTAAACAGAGGGCTATTATTAATGGTTGATATTGTTTTGAAAGTCTAACAGACAAAATTAGTACAATTTTCAGTTGTCAACACACACAGGGTGAACAAACTCCCTTCACCACAACTCTGAGGAGTTAAATTGCACCCTGACTCAATCAGATTATTTGGTCCCTGTTAACATCAATACCTTGTTGTTTTCTCCAAAACCTCTTTTCCTGGACGCTTTTGAGAAATTTGTTGTTCGACTACATCTGATCTACACTACAGGAGCAAGGATTGGTATTGTTTTTTTAACATTCTTATTATGAAACAAATCTCCTTGAATCCCATGTTCACACTTACTTGCCATCCTCCCTTTCCATTTCCAGGGTATAGGTTACCATATCGGGATTACGGCCGTCTCCCCATTTCAGCTTCAGACTGTTGGGGGCAAAAATCACACACTCTAGTCGAGCAGGGTTCGGGGGCAGGGGCTTTGTTGATATTCGCACCGGTGAGCTGAATGCTCCAACTCCGATACCGTTGACAGCTTGTATCCGCACCCTGATAAGAAAACAGAGAGAATGTTTTTTATAGGTATACAGTATCCATCATATTAAAAAGTTTCATAGATTTATTTCCCTGTCATCAAAGTCAAGATATGGTACATGAAAATAAACTATTATCAGAAATAACTGAATGAAAGTTTAAGATATAAGATTATAGGTATCATTCAATGGAATGCAAGAAATCATTTAGCTCATTTGCCCCTGAAGTCACATTTGAACTCTTCCAATTCAAAGGTTGGAATAGTTCATTATGAAATTTTAGGGGTGAGTGAGTTAAGGAACCAGTCATCATAACATGCCTTAAAACCAATTAATTTCCACATCATTTGTCAAACATTCCTGATCAACATAGCCTTAAAACTTAATTACAAACTTTTTGTGAACATTTAGACTTGATTAGGGGTCCAACGATATGCCTGAAGTGTATCCCGATGTAGATCAACACAGATGGAATATTTTGTGACATGAATCCTGATATATTGTCATAGGAAAACGATGCTAAATTTAAAAAGAAATTATTGTCAGAATGATATCAAACTACATCATGTATCATATGGACCACACACGTTTCAGATTTTCATTTAACCAATCAACAGTTACGGAATTACAACCGATTTCCACCACTACCTGTTTATGGTTATTAGAATATCTGTGAGAATGAGCTGTAATTTTCAAAGTTTAACTCCCAATGGACAATTTTTTTTTTTTTGCAATATAGCAATATGTCATCACTGTACTGCAATATAATACAAAATGCCGATTTTCTGATATATTGTGACAGCCCCAGACGTAATACCATGATGATTTCTCTTAGTGTTAAAGTATCACACTGTTGGAAAAAACTGGGAGTTACTTCCCTTGAAGCAGTTTCCACTTACTTGTACACAGACTCGGGAGCCAGCTCCTCTAAGGTATACTCGGTAACAGCGCTTGTCGTGATGAGTTGTTTCTCGCCGATGTCAATGTTGTAAGAGCTGATGTCACTGCCGTTACAGTTGGGCTCTTTCCAGGACAGGGAAATGGTATTAGCATTGGCTGTGTGACGGATGTATACGACAGGCGACGGACTAGAAGGCGGGGTCACACAGGTAGCCACCGCACTGAATGGACCTGATCCTGCACTGTTGATTGCCTGCACAAAGTGATATCACATGACGTTAAGTTTACATTATATAACACTAAGTGATATAATTTTGTGTTTTATATTACATTATAAGGAGTGACAGTGCAAAATGTTGCTTCAATACAGACTCTTCATAAGTTTCTTTAATACTTTATATCATGCATCTGACAAACTTACACCAACCTCAACAAAGCCACTAGCAGATAATAAATCGGATTTTTTTTTTATCTGACTTACCTGAACACGAAAACTGTATAGGGTAGCAGGTGTCAAACCCTTCACCTCGTAATTCATGTTTGAACCAAAATATAACTGCAACAAAAATATTTTTGTTAAATTTGATTCAAAGCAGAAAATTCATCAAATGTCCTTAGCCAAGACAAAATTGTTTTCTATAACCAATCAATGTTTAGGCAATGGAGGACAATATTTTGGACAAGAATTTTGTTCTCATGAACAAATTTAAAATGACTTATACAAAAGAGGGGTATGTATGTGCTTTCCACCTGAATAACTGCACATATTGTAGACAAAAGCTGACCAATTCAGAGAAACATCTGTATGCCGAGAAAGATGAGGGACTAGGAATACGGACACAATGAAATCAGTTGAACGCTGGTAATCCTCATCTCAGCCTAACCTGTCAACTAGGATGTCCCTGTGTCAAGTCGAGTATCCTCATCTCAGCCTAACCTGTCAACTAGGATGTACCTGTGTCAAGTCGAGTATCCTCATCTCAGCCTAACCTGTCAACTAGGATCTACCTGTGTCAAGTCGAGTCTTACAAAGGTGAAAGTGAGGCCAGAGGATCTGACTACTGTGAAGTCAAGGTCTGACTTGTGTGAACTAAGACGTACCTGTGTGTAGTTGAGGTTTGACTTGTGTGAACTAAGACATACCTGTGTGAAGTCGAGGTCTGACTTGTGTGAACTAAGACGTACCTGTGTGAAGTCGAGGTCCGACTTGTGTGAACTAAGACGTACCTGTGTGAAGTCGAGGTCTGACTTGTGTAAACTAAGACGTACCTGTGTGTAGTTGAGTTCTGACTTGTGTAAACTAAGATGTACCTGTGTGAAGTCGAGGTCTGATTTGTGTAAACTAAGACGTACCTGTGTGAAGTCGAGGTCCGACTTGTGTGAACTAAGACGTACCTGTGTGAAGTCGAGGTGTGACTTGTGTAAACTAAGACGTACCTGTGTGAAGTCGAGGTCTGACTTGTGTAAACTAAGACGTGCCTGTGTGAAGTTGAGGTCTGACTTGTGTAAACTAAGACGTACCTGTGTGAAGTTGAGGTCTGACTTGTGTGAACTAAGACGTACCTGTGTGTAGTTGAGGTCTGAATTATGTAAACTAAGACGTACCTGTGTGAAGTCGAGGTCTGACTTGTGCTGCCACTCCAGCCTATAGTCAGTGATAGTAGCACCATTGTTGACGGGAGAATCCCACAGCACCATAGCACTGTGCGGGGAGCGACAGTTGACGAGGGGGGTTTTAGGAGGGTCAGGCACCCCAGCTCCGCTCACCACCTCCAGGGGCTCTGACCAGGGTCCGCCCTACAGGGGATGAGAAAGATTGACATTTAAACATCAAATAATACACAGACATATATAATACTATATAATAAACATTACTATAAGTTACCTGAAAAATGTTGAATTAATAAAATGCCAGATAGAAAATGAAAAAATAAAATCTTGTTGGTTTCAAAATAATATCAGCACATGATAACACAAATTTACACCAATAACTGAACTAAAAAAGGATTAATCTTCATTAAATTTATTCGCTGTATTTGACTAAAAAGACATTTTTATAAGTCAATTAAAGCACTTCCAAGACTTAGACCTTTGTAATGGCTGGCTTAGGAGATCTTGCACATAAAAAGGGACCTACCCCAACCATATTAAATGCCCGGACTTGGAATAGATATGGACGTCCTGGTGAGAGACCAGCCACTATACAGTCAAGATCACGACCTTTGAACACCTCTCGGCTTGTATTGTCAGGGTTGATCATCTGAGCTGCAAACTCCATCACATTTGCCCCTCCATCATACTCTGGGTAACCTAAAATGGACACAAAATATAATGAAATTTCCTAAAGAAGTCACTATTGTCACTTTTATTACAAATTATGGTAATTTCATTTTTTTTTTTTTTTTTAAAACCTTTCTTTACATGTCTGGAAGGATAAAGGCATATAAAAACATTAAAAGAATGATACTTTTGTCACTTGTTGATTAGAAACGTTTACACTTGTTCAGTAGCAATGTGTATGAGCTGAGACAGAGACTTACCCCAACGCAGGTGGAGGGATGTGGCCTTGGGTTTGCCCTGTAGCTTAGGGGCATGGCACTGCCCCGGGGAAACAGCATGTGTGGTGGCGATACAGAAGTCAGAGAACTGAAACCAACAGGTTTACTTAAATAACAATCTTGTCAAATCTTGTTGATATTTACATTGTTGCATAAAAAAGACCAATTACTCAGGAATGTTTCCAATCAGAAGCTGGAACAAATCCTAACATGTCCAGGAACCTATTGGCTATTACAGACCTATCTCCAGGAACCTATTGGCTATTACAGACCTATCTCCAGGAACCTATTGGCTATTACAGACCTATCTCCAGGAACCTATTGGCTATTACAGACCTATCTCCAGGAACCTATTGGCTATTACAGACCTATCTCCAGGAACCTATTGGCTATTACAGACCTATCTCCAGGAACCTATTGGCTATTACAGACCTATCTCCAGGAACCTATTGGCTATTACAGACCTATCTCCAGGAACCTATTGGCTATTACAGACCTACATCACTTTTATCAATAGATTTGATCTCCAATAAAAATATAAAGACTGTACTAATTCAAATCTAGCACCTTTATGGCATTACTTTTTCAAATTTCTTTAAATATTTTTTTAACCTTAAGCTTTACAGGTCATAAGAGTATAAATAAACAAAAGCATGTGACCTTGACCGACAAACATAAATGTGACATTGACCGACAAACATAAATGTGACATTGACTGACAAATATAAATGTGACCTTGGTCGACAAACAAAAATGTAGAAGTTTTCAATCTCGGTGTTAAATTGTTAATGATTTTTACCACAGTTACAGCACAAGTGGATGTTAACCTAGCCCTGAATTGTATGTACCGAGTGGATGTTAACCTAGCCCTGAATTGTATGAACCCAGTGGATGTTAACCTAGCCCTGAATTTTATGTACCGAGTGGATGTTAACCTAGCCCTGAATTGTATGAACCCAGTGGATGTTAACCTAGCCCTGAATTTTATGTACCGAGTGGATGTTAACCTAGCCCTGAATTGTATGAACCCAGTGGATGTTAACCTAGCCCTGAATTTTATGTACCGAGTGGATGTTAACCTAGCCCTGAATTGTATGAACCCAGTGGATGTTAACCTAGCCCTGAATTGTATGTACCCAGTAGATGTTAACCTAGCCCTGAATTGTATGAACCCAGTGGATGTTAACCTATAGCCCTGAATTGTATGAACCGAGTGGATGTTAACCCAGTCCTGAATTGTATGAACCCAGTAGATGTTAACCTAGCCCTGAATTGTATGAACCCAGTGGATGTTAACCTATAGCCCTGAATTGTATGAACCCAGTGGATGTTAACCCAGCCCTGAATTGTATGAACCCAGTAGATGTTAACCTAGCCCTGAATTGAATGAACCCAGTGGATGTTAACCTAGCCCTGAATTGTATGAACCCAGTGGATGTTAACCTAGCCCTGAATTGTATGTACCCAGTGGATGTTAACCCACCCCTGAATTGTATGTACCGAGTGGATGTTAACCCACCCCTGAATTGTATGTACAGAGCGATTGCCCACCCCTGAATTGTATGTACCGAGCGGATGTTAACCCACCCCTGAATTGTATGTTCAGGGTTCCAGTAGCTCTGACATGCCACCTTGGCCAGGATAGTTAAATCAATGTGACCTTTACAGACATCAAATGACCTTGAGATGGTCAGACTTACATCACTACGACCACCTTTACTGCAGCAAGCCACCCTGACCATGTAGATATGGCCTGGAATGAGATGATCACAAATGTGTTCCCTGTCTGAGCCCTCGTACAGTGTCTCATACCCTGGAACAAAAACACACAGCCATGATTAATAACTCTAAAAAAAGGAGGAATAAAAGTCTACCTGTCTAATCCGACACCTGATGGGACAAAATGTATCAGCCAGATTGAATCTTAAATCAATACCCTGTGTAACACAACATACTGATCCAATTAACCTGTCTATTCTGACATCCTGTGTAACACAACATTGATCTGATTCACCTGTCTAATCTGACACCCTGTTGTACACAACATACTAGTCAGATTAACCTGTTTAATTCAGCATCCTTTGAGACACAACAATTTTGTAGGACATGATGTCAAACTACATTCTTATTGGGAAGTTTTCATTAAACGTTGAATTACATCATTATGTTGGATTATAATTACACAGGATGCCGGAATACCGAGGTATTGGATAAGACAGGTTTTACTGCAGAGCCATCTAACAATTATTATGACTTAACATATTTCTTCACTATTTTCCCATATAGGAGAAATACTAAGAGCATAATGTGATCAAGGATAAAAAACTGAAATGAAAAAATTAAACACTTTTTGTTGGCTAGGAGTATAAAATAAGTAAGCTGCAAAAATTCCTTCATTTTAAATGAAAATAAAATTCCTTTAGATTTCCTAGAATGTTTGTGTAAGAAAATGTTACAACAATTGAAAACATCAATGCTTTTGCCTATCTCAAAACATTACAGTACCGACCAATTTTTAAATCTTTCATTTTTAAAGAAATTTTTAAAGCTACAAATGAAAACATAAATATTCTTGCCAATTTAAATATATAAGCTAACAGAAAATCTGTTTCAGAAATTTAAGAATCTTAAATAAAAGACCTCTTATTAGGTAGAATAGAATGATTATGTACACCTGCAGTTAGACTTTATTGTACATTGATTTTTATTCTATGATTTTATTTTTGGCACATTCTGTTGATTCTAAACTCCAACAAACTTTTTGCCGACATAAAAACAACAATAAACTCAAAGCCAGTAAAGGGTGAAATGCGAAATTAAAGAAACAAATTGTGTAAGGCTGTAACTATGTATTAGCTTGACACAGTGACACTGAAGCTGTACATTCTACAGGGTACACAGCATAAAGACGGAACAGATTGTAAAAGGTTGGTCAAACATAAATATGACCCCGGTCCTACCTCAACTGAAATGTCGCTACAGTAAGCCAAAAGTCTAACCAAAGAAATGGAGTTCAATGCAAAGCTGATGAAAGAAATACAGTAGAAAATATGGGCCACAGTGACCTACACTTGGTGTGTTAATGTAGTACTCATCTATGTACACAAACTTCGATGACATTTGGACCTCTAGTATTTACATAATGTAGCTTAATACAACGTCTAACTTAATTGACATATGGAAAACCAACGGAAATAGCAACCACTAATGCTGTGGGGGCATCGAAAATGAATCTTTTACTTTCATGTGTCAATTGTTTTAGCAGATATTAGACAAGAAACAGCAACAAAAGTGCTTGCAACATCGTTCACGATTAAAATTTCACAAAATAGAAATGAAACTTCACTGACAAGATCATATAAGAAACACATATTACCTCCTCCTGGTTGCAGTAAACAGAAATAGAAAACATTTTGAAATTACTGTAATCAAGGTATTTTAAGATGTAAAGTCGAAAGTCATTACTGTTAATCAATAGCCTATATGACATCTGCTTTTATAAATACTGTATATCGGTAATTTTTGTCGCAGTTCAACTTTTGCCCTAACACACATAGTAAATAGTTAACTCATTCACCCCTGAAGACACATTTGAACTCTTCCAATTCAAAGGTTGGAATAGTTCATCATGAAATTTCAGGGGTGGATGGGTTAATACATGTGAAGAGTGAAATGACAAGTTGAACATGGATTTTACTAAAGAAAGGGTAAAGTTTGACCTGACGAAAAATTTCTAGTATACAGTATGTAGAGTTCGTACGATCAACAATTTTTGTTTGTTTTTGTTTTTTATTATGTTTGTCAGTACAAACTGGAAATATGTATTAAACTGAAGTAGTTATGTGTATGGTACAAACATAGATATCCCCTAGTATTCAATATGATTATTTTCTTACCTCGCCCATCATCAAGTTCTACTATGTACTTCGTGATATCGGATCCTCCGTTATCCTTGGGAGGGTCTGAAACAGAACGAACATCCAAATCAGTACAAAATATTAACGGCAAGAAAGGTGACTGAAGCAAGGGGTTTTATAACCGAAGGCATTATAACAAGTAGCATTATAGTGAAGCGCTATGTTAAAGGTGTATTATAATGAGGGGTTTTATAACAAAGGGCATTCTATCATTATTTTGCCGTATATTTACAATTTAAATCTTGAGGCTGATAATGATGAAATATCTTGAACAATGAAAAACAATGAAGGTCATCTGTAAAAAATATAGAAGCATTCAAGAGATGAAACAATGAGTTTCCAAAAAGAAAGTCACTGTAACCCTCCCTTACCTTAATATCCTCAATAAACAATTTACTATTTTCGTAAATAATCTTCATAACAAACTATTCAATTAGATCACCAACTTTGTTATAATTGCGTTGGAGTAATTTGGTACACTAGGTCTCCCAGACTTAACGATAGGACTGTGTAGCTATAATAAGACACCAGTATATGCATTGCACCAATGACAAATTCAGACTTACCCCACACGACCTTGAAGCTATGGGCATGTATCTTGCCTTTGATTTGAGGTTTGGGAGGAGGACTTGGTCGGTCGGGTAAGGTACGGAAACACGAAACATCACTCCACTTACTCTGACCCTCGTCATTCACTGCTGCCATCTTTAAACACAGGTAAAAACTTTCATATTGCTTGTCATAAAATCTATCCATTAACTATTTAAATATTACTGTTTTTAGAAAATGTAAATTTTCTTCATTTCTGTTTTTTGCTCATCCTACATAATGATTTCGGAGGAATTCGCAGGCATTTTAATCTGGCTTATATAGGTGTTTTAATGGGGATTATTGTTTTACTATAAAATGATCAAATGATTTGTTTTTTCTTTCAATCTGCAGTGTTGGTTACTGTTATCACGATAATTTCAAGAATCTCAGGTGCAACAATTCTACTGAGAAGACCTACCCTGAGCTTGTAATATAGAATTCTATAACAAGAAGACCTACCCTGAACTTGTAATCAGTGTTTCGCCGTAATGTCTTTACTTTATGTGAGAGATTTGGTCCATTATACTCAGTGATGAAACCATGTCCCTATAGAAAATAACAAAATCATATAAGTAAAGAATAAAACACATAATAAATACAGTTTGGTATCTATTATTCAAAAAGAGGAAAATGAAAAATATATATATATGTTTGTTTCCTTTTTTTTACAATCCAGACTGTTCATCATGAAGATGTTAAACTTTGCTGATAAATAGTACACTTGTTAAAATTTAACCTTGATATTTCAAACAATATCAACCATTGCTTCAAAGACTGCCCAACTTACTGTTGTTTCATCCTCTATCTGTAGAAGGAAGTTGTCCTCATTGGTGCGTTTGATCCAGGAGATAGTGAGGGCGGAGATGGAAGCCTCTGACAGCATGGGTGGATCTGGCTGGGAGGGTACGCTACCACTGGTACAGTAGCTGGCCGGGTCACTAAACTGACTGTAAACATACAAGTAGAACCATCGAGGTGTAACCATCAATATTACACATCATATTAACATTGACACAACATATAACAGGTATCATTGATATTGTCATTGATCAAACAATGTGAATTTTCCATGATTAACAAAATGTCTACCTTGGGAATGGAATATCATGCATCTACTTTAGTTGAGTTTCAATTAAATGGGAGAATTGTAAAACAGCTAGAACTACAGGGACAATTTTTTTAACGGAAACTGAAATAATGTTTGTAAATGTGAAACCTTACAATTATATTCATGCTTTGATAGAAATTGAACCCAAAGTCTATACCAAAGGAAGTAAAGATAAAAATGTAGGTCACTGTATCCTACATTTATACTTTAATGAAGCACTCCTCAAGACGTATCTGTATACAAAGTTTCGTAAAAATTATACTTTAAGTATTACAAGTAATGGAGCTAAATATAAAGTGTACTGGAGTCAGTGAAGCAGAAACTGAAGGTCCGAAGAGATCTACATTTCTACAAAAATGTGTAGTACTTGTCTACTGCAGGGGGTGTCCACCTATCACGTATGATGTCTGCTGTACATCCACTACTTAGGCAATAAAGCTAAATACTACATGTACATACAGAAAAGTCAAACACTTATTGCTACCCTCCATTATGGGGTGGGGGTATAACATGGTCAATTGTTCCGTCGCCAATGGTATCACTGGCCTGACACTGGACACCGGTTAAGTAATGTCTGGGTTGACATCATTACAAAACAATTGATCATATTGGGTTTAAATACAGCACAAGGTATTTCTTCTTCTAAAACACTGCATTTTTTCCCTCTACATTGAAACTCAAGTTTCTTTATCACGAAGATGTTACCTGTGTCGTTGATATATTACTAATTCATACCTTTTGCCGACACTGTTGATGGCCGCTATCCTAAAGGTATATTTAGTGGTTGCTTGAAGTTTTGAGACCCGATGTTGCCGTTGGAGACCATTGTACACTTCGGTGAAGCCATCTCCTTGACCCTGTAGAGATAGAAGTCAAAATGTTATCAGAAACTGTATAAATACTTATTTTATGGACTCAAATTTTAGTGTAAGATAACATTTTAACTGATTAATGCATTGACAAAATGGTGAACCTGCAGTATATATGTGCAACAGAAAACTTCAACTAGATCAGTCGAAGTTATCGTAATATTTTTCAAGTTCACAGTATGTTCCTTTTGTTACTTTTATGTGTTCTTTTTCTTTCCTTTTGTTACTTTTAACATATAAATGTACTGATATCATCCTTTTTATCAATAACACATGTGTCAAACATCCATGTGTCTGGTTTAGAACACAATGCTTCACATATTGTACAATGCAAGATTCATGGTTTTGTATTAATGAGGTTTGCAACCCTTGTAATTCTGTATTTCCTGATCCAAAACGTTAAATTCAGAATCTTTTTAAAAGAATGTCTACAGTAAATATTTTCCTCTAAAAAGTACAAAACATTGATAATTCAGTGTAAGTCCTCAATCTTGATGGTCTCCTTTTGGATTTTTTTTTATTTGTACAGAATACCTGATGTCACATTCTAAATCTGACGATAAAAAGCATGCCTTTTCACGATAGGAAAACAATGTCTTACAAATAGGAGTTTAGTAATGGGGAAAAACTGTAAGGTATCACATCCTTGATGTAGGCGACATGCTTACCTTATCACATTCCAGAGTGTATGTTGAGATTCTTGCCCCATTTTCACATGTTGCCTGAAATATAAATGAACAGATTTTTCATTCATACAGGTTTTGTCTTGTTTATGTTAAGGTAAAATTTATTTCATTTTCATTATAGTGATAAGTATATTTGTTATGCCTTAGCTTCTTGTACTGAGTACTTGTAACAATTAAGTGCTCTCAGATCATTTTTTTACAACTATCTATTGTAATATCTTAATTTTACGCACTGGGTAATATTGGACACAAAATGTAGTAATAGCAAACATTTAAAGAAGCACAGACCATCAGATATATCGGTGATTTTACAAGAAATGAAAATAGGACAAACAATGATATGTCAAATCAAAAGAGGACAATTGGAATAGCACAACATTGAGAATGCAAAATTTGATCGACGCTGAATTGATTTTTTTTTTATTGATTTTGAGATCCAGGATGTTTTAAATCTGTGATGTCATGTGACAGTAAATCTGATGACACTAACGTTCCATTTCAGTGTTATGGAGGTTTTGGTCCGTGCATGTAGCTTGGGCATCTGCGGGGGATCCGGCTCACAGATCCCCGTTAGAAATCTCACAGGCTCTGTCGGACTGCCCTTTACGTCTTCCAGCGATGTGCATACTCTACAAAAACAAAAAAGTTATAAAATAAGAGACAAAAAAAAATCAATATCGACATTGAGACTGCAGTTTTGTAGCCAGATATTCAATTAATGTAATATCATTATTAACGCATGTGTATTGTCACGCATTGGAAATTACAACATTAGACACAACACAATAACGATCAGGAACGCCTCACATAGACACTCCCCGCCATATGTTACACAAATTCCTTAAAGGCACTTAGTGCATGTCCTGTTTATATTTTGCATTAATTTCTGCCCTGTTACAACAAGGAGTAGTTTGTGCAGGACCTGAACTGTACTTTCATGCTGAAATGAAACACAGGACACAGAATGTAAGCTAGCTGTTTTTCCAGCTGTTTAACCAAATGTTTGGTGGCAGTTTCTGCATGTTAATGAGTGTACAAACATGTGCCATTAAAGCTATCATTCTTTTCTAAATGTGAAATGCATGAATATCCAACATTTTATACAACAAACAGTTTTGATATCATCTGTATAAATTTCAATATACTATTTACTGTAACTATGAAAAAAACATCTTTTTCTGTATCTAATTTCCAAAAGCAAACATTGTTCAGATTCAACACATCTAATGTCATCTTTAATTTATAGATCAAAGTCATAAAAAAGTGGAAAAAATTATGACACTTGAATATTCATTTGTACCCTTTCACCACTGTAGACCATAATGGACTCTTCCATATCAATGCATGGTAGAGTCTACCAAAGTAACATAAGGGTGAAAAAACTACTTAATTTCAGAGTATGCCTGAAAACTACAATGAAAAAAACTTTATCTCATTTACTATACTATTTCTTTATATTGATAAATTATAAATGCGCTTTTTGCTGGGAAAATGTCCAAAGGGACATCAAAAATTCATGTTAGAAATGAAGTATGAAATTTTTCTCCCCAGCCGACAGTTGCATTATTTGAGGACAATAAAACAGATCAGTCGATGTGTGGCCCCGCCATTAATGTGAAATTGACGCTAATGATTGGTTAGGGCGTGAACAATATTTCAACTCATATGTGACTAACACCATCATTTCACGGTAAATACAGATCACATATCGGAGGAATCTATCCAGCAGTGATCCATTAAGGACGCCCCACAAGTCCCGGGGGAACTGCTCTAGCAGCAACAATCCTTGAAGTCGAGTCACATATCCACGGAAATCATAGAATCAACTACTCAGAGGAGAATAATACGGCACTATCCTTACGTCCAGTTGTACATCCTAAGGAGATGATCTAATCACGGGCGGTGGAGAACAGACCTAGCAAGGATACCTTGCAGTACAGTCACATATATCTCAAGGAAATTAAAATCAAACAATAATCCGCAGAGTCTAGATTTGGCAACGATCCTTTAACACATATCTGAGGAAATCACCGTCACATACCCTGAGGAAAGCAACCTCACATTGATCCTTCAAGTACAGAGTTCATATTCCAATGAAATCAATCCAGATATAATGATCCATGGATTGCGGAATCACATATCCCGTGGAAGGTATCCTCACAGTGAACCTTTAGGTACAGCGCCGCATTCTGAGGACATCGATCCAGCAATTATCCATGGATTGCAGAATCACACATCCCAATTAATTAATCTAGTGATGAGCCTTGGATTACAGACTCGCATAATGCAGAGAAAACAACCAGTGCAGATTGAGTTACACATCCAGGGTAACAGCCTAGCAATGATCGGCTCAGTACAAATAACTTTAATAAATCTGTCAGTGATCCGCCCAGTAGGGGCACTTGCATATTCCATAATATCATTTGGCATAGATCTTTCCAGTAGAAATCACATATAAATGGAAATCCTTCATCATTGAGAACAGGCTCACAAAATCAAAAATAATTCATCGAGTATTGAATCACAAATCCCAGGATATCATTAAGACAAGGATCCGTAATACGACAGAGTAAAACTTTCAGGGAAATGAATATGACAATAATCTATTGAGCCCTGATTTGTATCATTCTGGCAACCACGCATCCGTTTATACAAATTCACTTATCCCAGGAACTCTATCTAGCAATGATCTGTCTAGTACAGATATTTTGAAATATACTTTAATTAAGTATACATTAACATTACAGCCCTTGACTGTGTGAGTTATTCACCCAAAGATGACTGAAAAGCAAGGTTAATCACCTTACAGGTACCGATTATACAGGTGTGTGGACTAGAGCAATCTACAGGGTTATTTCTTACTCACTTTAAATGGTACTCAGTGGCTGGTTTTAAATCTTTTAGTGTAATTTCTGTTGCATCACCCCTGAAAAAATAAGAAGACATCGCAACATTAATAGTTTGCGAAACTATATTTGAAAATGTATACACAAAGAATTATAAGAAATAGATTCGAGACAAGTACGTGTTGTGATTTTAAAACAGCAAGCATTAGACACAGAAGTTAGCAGTCATGTAAGAGGTTTTAAGATCACCAACCGTGTGGTTCAACCAGTATTTTTATACTATAAATTAATACTATAAAGAGTACAACCAACCTAACTGGAGATAATGCAGATTACTTCCCTTGCTTAACTGTATCTAAATACATTCTTTCAAGATATTAACTCCCCTGTCAAATTTATCTTTCCACTTACATGACACAAAGTAAAAGAAAACTTTAATTTTTACCCCCTAGTTTAATGATAAGTAGCTAGACAGTCCATTATAATTAACTTCCAAGTTTTTAATATATACCCAACATCCTTTCCAACCAACTGTCTTTCCTAATAACAAGTAGCCTATGTATAGATCTGCCGTTCTGTCCAACTTACGAGTAGACAGATTTATATTTGCCGTTCTTTCCAACTTACGAGTAGACAGATTTATATTTGCCGTCCTTTCCTTTATCGGACAGCAGAAGCTCGTACTGGAACTCCGCTGCTTCTATCACAAACTCGTTCTGGTCGTATTCTGGTGGTGCCAGATGTATTAAGGCACTTCTTGGTTCCACTTCTGTCACCTGTAATCAGACACACACAGGTAAATTACAGGTAGGCAAAGGTAAATGAGCGACCAACAAAGTTTAATTACATGTAAACATGGACCTATTGTTTTAGTTTTTACCTACCTCAAGTTCTGATGTGTTAGATAAGTGACATACCCCTGATTCCGACATGTCAGATAAAAGTGACGTACCCCTGGTTCTGGCATGTTAGATAAGTGACGTACCCCTGGTTCTGGCATGTTATATAAGTGATGTACCTCTGGTTCTGGCATGTTAGATAAGTGATGTACCCCTGGTTCTGGCATGTTAGGTCAGTGACGTACCCCTGGTTCTGACATGTTAGATAAGTGACGTACCCCTGGTTCTGGCATGTTATATAAGTGATGTACCCCTGGTTCTGACATGTTATATAAGTGACGTACCCCTGGTTCTGGCATGTTAGATAAGTGATGTACCCCTGGTTCTGGCATGTTAGATAAGTGACGTACTCCTGGTTATGGCATGTTAGATAAGTGACGTACTCCTGGTTCTGACATGTTAGATAAGTGACGTACCCCTGTTTCTGGCATGTTAGATAAGTGACGTACCCCTGGTTCTGGCATGTTAGGTAAAAGTGACGTACCCCTTGTTCTGACATGTTGGATAAGTGGCGTACCCCTGGTTCTGGCATGTTTGGTAAGTGACAAACCCCTGGTTCGGAAAGGTTAGATAAGTGACGTACCCCTGTTTATGGCATTGTTAGATAAGTGACGTACCCCTGGTTCTGGCATGTTAGACAGCTGGTGTTGTATGACCTTCCTTTCCTCCTCCAGGTCCTGACCTGTGTCCACTGGGGGGGTGTTTGTAATGCTTCCCGGCTGGATCTCTCCATTAACTGGCAAAAAGAAACAAGATTCATTTATTGGAATAAATTTGTGCAATATATAGATCATGGCTCAAAACTGATCACCATGAATACCGATAAAAATCATGATTAACAATTACATTGATGATCATGATTAAAAGATTGTCCCGATATATATGATTAATGATGATGATTCATGATGGAACTTTTTCAACTTGAAATAATTAGGGGTGCATTCAGAACATTTAACCATTTTGATGTTAATTTCTATCTCGACTCATCAATTAATCGAAATTCCAGACAAAAGCTGTATATGTAAGAATGAACTGTAAATATATATATATTTTTTTCAAGCCAAATACAACAGAAATATCATTGGTCAATTTTTTCTGGAAAATCATTTTAAAACTGATTTGAAAAAAACACATGAAATTCTAATAGAAATATTGTTATGAAAAAATCATGTATGCATAATTTACAAAAATCTAATATGCATATTCGTACAGTTTGCAATTATTTGTATGCCCTAAGTAACCCTGGTAACTATCAAAACGTTCCAATTGATGTAATATGTTTTGCTGATGTAATGACAATTCATTACGACGAGACGAGAATCGTGAGGGAACAATAATTTCACTACTTAAACATTTTTCAACATAAAGTAAATGGGCCTCTTTTGATTTTTTATCAAAAAAGGAAGTTTCCTTATCAATCAAGAGATTTCCTTTACAACATGAAATTGTTTGACATAAATGGTATGGATGAAATGACTTTTACAATGCTGTAGCTAAATCAAGGATAACTTCAGTGGTTTACAAAGAGAAATCCACAAAAGAACAGTTGAAGTGATATGTTTATGTGTCCTTTGTGTCGATACAGCCAACACTAGGATTGGTGAAACAGTAACAAGACGGCTTTGACAGTGACCACTGGTTTGTAGAAGAAATGTGATACAATTCTTCCTGTCTATTGAAGGATTATCATCACAGCCCTATCAGTTACGAGATTCATAATCCATCTGGTTGAATCTTTAAAAATACTTATTGTCTAATCATAAGATCGTAAGTCTATCTACAGCAACAGGTATAGATTTCAGAGTAAGCTTAGCAGTAGAATCAAGTGTGTTGTGTTGAATATTCATTGAGTAATCCCCTTAATGCGAGTCTAGCAGAGACAAGGAGGATAAAAAGTTAAATGTCGAGGCTATAAAGAGGTTGCTCAGCGCTCGGCAGAATGTTAGCTATATACAGCTATTTTGGGATTTGACAAGATTGGTTAAGTTTGCAAAAAAAAAAAACATACAGAGAGGAGATTTTAAGGTATTGGGAATCATTCAATAATCATGAAATTAACAAAAAGAAAATAACAATTCTGAATTTGATTGGCCACCCCACAATGATATCTAATTCACCATGAGAACTAACCAGTTGTATCCGACTCATCAGGAGTATAACTCCCGGAGGCATTGTCTGGATACAAAAATTATATAATCATTATCATCAAATTATTTTCAACGTTCTTTTGTTTTGGTTTAAAATAAAACCTGTCAAGGAATGAATCTGAAAATTGATATCAAACTATTATTATGAAGAAGGGGATCAAACCATTAACTTTACTACTGAACTGTAAACAATGTGAAAACCTCATTGTTACTTATGTAATTATTTAAACTGAAACCTTCTGTGTATACCTAGCAGGTAATTTAAGCGGTTGTGATATTTTTGCTGTATGGAAAAACCACCATTCCAAAACTTCCACAAACATTTTCATTAAAATACTGATGTTCACCTTATGGAGGAAAAATTCTGACTGACAAACTGTATCCTCATGTCCGTTTTTGGTCCTATTAGATGTAATGTCGCTACACATGGATCTGCGATAACATATTGCCGTCTCAGCCAATGAAACAGTATATATACATCTACATTTTAAAATAATTCTACCATTGCAAAGCACAACTTTTCCAAAACAAGTGAAACAATTACATAATACATATTCAAAATCTATAGAAAACTTTTTATATCTGAAAACCATCATACCATGGAGTTTAGAAATGTTTATGGTAATTGATGGAAAACATTTAAAAACCCTTTACTTTTATGGTAAACCATCCCCTCACCATCAAAACACTGTAGCCAAGCAATGTTAGATCAATGTAGCCATATGTAATGGAGAAGACTGCTGGGAAAATGTTTGTTTTTGTGTCTTAAGATCATAACAGCTCATTACGATTCCCGTGGCTTGTGACTGGTATGTGATATAAAAATGGTCACAGAGCATGTCACTGACCGAGATTCTTCAACAACCAACCCTGAACAGCCTGGAGCAGTGTAACAGGGGCTAATGGTAAATACGGACTGGACCCACACAAATTCTAACGACCCAACAGCCAGTGATAATCTAACATGGATCCACTTAGGTTACAAGAACTTGCAGAGATAGCTTGGCCCTGTCTCTAGAATATTAAGTAGATATTTAATTATTTAGAAGAAAAAAAAACCTATTATTAATTTTGATCACTTGGACGTCTGATTCTATAAGCTCCCAAACTAGAGGGAGATCAGCTAGTAGTAAAATGCAGCCAGGAAATTCTTCATAATAACTTAAGGGCTGGTAGCCAGTCTATTGCAGACAATTCGAAACTATATCTAAATTGGTTCTACAGTTATGCTATTAAAGAAAACTGGAGGAATCGTAAATTGTATTTGATGTTTTTCTTCTACAGTGGTATTGTCACAATTACTGTCAACTACAATTCCACCGTCACTCACACTTGTCCACCTTTGAAACAATTGTTCACCAAGTCATAATTATCTGCAGTACATTTCAGTATGTTAAGTTCACGTATTCAGAAAGTCAAAAATCCCTGCTAACTTATTAAATACACAATTAGGCAGCCATGACGCTAATGTGACGTAAGTAAGAACTACTAATTGAAAACAGACCTTCGTCTTCACGAATCCTTTAGTACAGTTACTTTATCAGATGAAGGGCTAGAAATAATCTGCTCATTACAGAACATATCTTCTAATAATGACAAGGTTAGGGATGTGTTTCCTTTAATTACATAGTACATTTAGTGAATTCCTCTTCCCAGATTCTGAAATGTTTAAGTTGCAACAGTTGTTTTCAAGAGTTGTCCATAACCTGAACTGAATTCTCAGAAAAATGAGTTTCAGGTATTTAGCTTTTCCCGTAATGTGCCTGTACTGGATATTAAAATCAATTAAACTTTCATATTTTATTAATATTTTACATCTTTTCACTTTAACATTGTCTGTGTGTCTCCATATTCTTCAAGATCATTACAATGATTTCTTTTTTTGAGCAAAATCTTTAGTGTCAAGAAAACGTTTTATTTTCTCTTAATTCATGAAAATGTTTCGTACTTCTCCTTCACAGTGAACATAAAGGAAAAATTTGATAAACAAGTTGGATTTAAAGAAAGATATCAAAAGAGCAAGATTGAAGTTGTTTTCATCCACATGATGGTAACTTTAACCAGATAATAAAACATATATCACAATATTTTATCCACAGAAGTTTTTCTGGTAAACAACTCATAAATTTTAAGCAGATCAACAAACAAACCTAGATTTTGAACCCTAAATGTGTACCCCGCGACCTCCGTAAACATTTAAATTGACATATGATCAGGTACATCCTCTATTGTCCAGGGTCTACCACGAATATTTGTGGGGAAAGTGTGAAACGTGTGACATGGACATATTTGTGGTTTTCCTGTCTGGGTTTACTCTAAGCGTGACTCGACAGAAGGAACTGCATGACAGGTGATTTAAATGGGATGATGACAATCAACAGGTGTTCTACTTGTAACACGTTACAGTTTAAATGGCTGATGTTTACTGGTACAGGTGTTTTAACTTAGGCACACAAATTAAATAAAAGTCATCCGAGATCTTTGATGATGTTTTCACACTCACCAGTTACAGACATTCACCCGTTACAGGAACTTTTACATCACAACAGTTACAGTCCGAAATGTGCAGCCTTTATCAGAAAATGTTTACTTGGGAAATCTTTGCCACAGTTGGACTTTTGCCTTTTTTTACCTCCATGATGGAGGCAAATTAATCATTAGTATAAAACATATACTAAACATAGTAATTTGGTGTGAAATGAAAAATGATCACTGGGCCCATAGGGATTCACCAGTGAAGGGCCCATAGGGATTCACCAGTGAAGGGCCCATAGGGATTCACCAGTGAAAGGCCCATAGGGATTCCCGAGTGAAGGGCCCATAGGGATTCCCCAGTGAAGGGCCCATAGGGATTCACCAGTGAAGGGCCCATAGGGATTCACCGGTGAAGGGCCCATAGGGATTCACCAGTGAAGGGCCCATAGGGATTCACCAGTGAAAGGCCAAAGTTTCCTGCTTATGTATATTAGTCTGAGTTACTCATACTGATTTCGCCTTCCTTTCAGAATTAAGTCAATCAACTTCAAATTATTCTTCCATATTAAATATTTATGTTTACCCTGTATCCAATCAATGGCTTATTCATCTGCTTAAAACATTCAGTCCTAATTACCTGATATAATGTTCTACCAATCTTCATCCCCTGTTGTATTTAACATTTGGATCATTGTTTTAAGCTGACCTAATCTTACTTGATTTTTTTAGCCATTATCACACTCAACAGATGTCTTCCCCTAATATACTGTTCAAAATTTGATATTAATATATATATTCATGAAACAAGTTGGAGTGAGATTGAATATGTCCAATAATTTAAGGCCATATAACTGGAGAATGATGTACATCTACCAAGAAAATCTTCCCGGACAGATTTGATAAAAACTGTTGCCGACTCATCAGAATTTGTCGACTGTTTGTGTATGACTAATATAAAGTACATGCTATAGAGTCAGCCCGAGGCTGTATAGACCTCAGTAACATAACACTGCTCCATAATAATCACTTTATGGCCACAAATTTCTGATGTTTTCCATCCTTAATAGAAAAAAATAGCCATCATCTTATTACATGTGGATGAACCCTACTCTTATATTAACAATAAAAAACACCTGTAACCGTGGCATACAAGTTAGATTTATTACCGCATTCATCAGGTTACACATCAGACAGACTTTACCTGACGGAGTATTTTCTTATTTCCTCCAACACACACAAGCTCGTATTAAATTAAGTCATATATTCAACACTAATTCATACAACGTGCACTTAATCATGAAACAAATATGGCCGAGTAGCTCTTTTACTTTCACTATCAAATGTTAAGTGCGTGATTATGATACCAAGCTTTTATATATATGCAGCTATAGTGATAATGTATCTACACAGAACCATCAGGCACTTGGCTTTAAGGAAAGGTCCTTCAATGGACTAACCTTGATTGTTGGGATACAGGTTTCCCATTTTGTCAATGTGGACCTAACATTAAGCCGTGGTCCCAACCCGGCGTACTTGCAAGTGCGTGCTGTCTACTTGCAAAAACGTGGGCAAAACTTGGGGATCCGTACGTGGTGGGTACCGCCTCAGTGCGGATTTGGGAGCACGCAGACACGCCGTAGCACTTTTAGTGCATGAGGAACTTTCGCTGCGTTCGGTATGCGGTCAGGCTACGGATTCACCCCAGTACGGGAGACGCGTGCCTTTTACAGCCAATGAACGTACAACGCACCGACTCCATGAGTCTTTTAATTTTTTCCCACTGTCACTTGCTCTATGGACGGCGCACTTAGCACGTGATAAGGGTGTGGTCTGTGCTTACCCGGCACTTCCTAAGTTCTACTGTCCAATGAGCACGCAAAACTGACGTGGACCGTACCGAGTAAGCACGTGCTCCGCACTTACAACGCACTGATTTCTGCAGTATATATAAAAGCCGAACCAGCATTTGAGGCAGCAGGAGCTTGGACTTCTGGGGAACCTCGGAAGGTCGTTCTATATACCCCCCCCCCCCCCCCCCCCTGACATTGGGCGGAAAAACTCACGTTCATCGCACTTCCACCATGCGAGTGAGTAAGCACACTGTACGTGAGCAGCACGAGTAAGTACGACCTCTGTACGATACGTGGCAATCGCACGGAGATCTTACGTTGTAAGCACGTACAACTCACTTACCTCGTGTGCAACGTACGATGCACGCAACTGCTCACGGCCAGGCGTGGCGTGCGGGCCATGTACTTACACTTTGCGCAACCGTGCGAGTGACGTGCGTTAACGTACTCTCTCCCTCTCTTGCCACTCCCTCCCCACATTTTCAGAAAAACGTGGCGGCCGTGGCCTCGCCAAAAAAACGTACGGACTAAAAACATGCACGGCGGGTTGTGACCGGGCCTTTGGTGATAGAATAGTACACAGGTTGTTTCGTTTTCTTTCTTGTGACTTTTCTGGCTGTGTATGTGTTTTTACAAGTGTGTGACACCTATTTTTTTTTTGAAACACTTGTGTACTACATGTATACTTTACAGGTGTGTGTCTGACTACACATACACAGGGTTATCTGTACTGTGAAACATGTGTACCTTTACAAGTGTGTGTCAGACTACACATACACAGGGTTATCTGTACTGTACCACATGTGTACCTTTAAAAGTGTGTGTCAGACTACACATACACAGGGTTATCTGTACTGTACTACATGTGTACCTTTACAAGTGTGTGTCAGACTACACATACACGGGGTTATCTGTACTGTACCACTTGTGTACCTTTACAGGTGTGTGTCAGACTACACATACACAGGGTTATCTGTACTGTACCACCTGTGTACCTTTAAAAGTGTGTGTCAGACTACACCTACACAGGGTTATCTGTACTGTACCACATGTGTACCTTTACAAGTGTGTGTCAGACTACACATACACAGGGTTATCTGTACTGTACCACCTGTGTACCTTTACAAGTGGTTGTCAGACTACACATACACAAGGTTATCTGTACTGTACCACATGTGTACCTTTACAAGTGTGTGTCAGACTACACATACACAGGGTTATCTGTACTGTACCACCTGTGTACCTTTACAAGTGTGTGTCAGACTACACATACACAGGGTTATCTGTACTGTACCACCTGTGTACCTTTACAAGTGTGTGTCTGACTACACATACACAGGGTTATCTGTACTGTACCACATGTGTACCTTTACAAGTGTGTGTCAGACTACACATACACAGGGTTATCTGTACTATACCACCTGTATACCTTTACAAGAGTGTGTTTGACTACAGGGTTTTCCCTCTGTTGATTTTCTTTGGGTACTGTACCACCTGGGAACTATTTCCCTTAAACTATCTCTAACAAGCCTTTCTGTTGGACCCATTCCTGATCTGGTTTGGATACTCGCCAAAAAGAAGTTCCCGGAAATGATTTTGCAACCCACAAAATATCTCACATACTGGGATACACACAGGATCAGGAGGCTGGGACCATCTGATCAGAAAGATAGAGCACAGAACAGGCTGACTGTGTGACACAGACATGAACGTGCCAGTTTCTAGTGCAGTCCTTATAAAAACAAATCTCGACACAAATCATTTGTTTCACAATATTAGTCATACTCAAACATACAACACTTTATAGCTTAAATTAAGAGAACTTTTGAATAATGGAAATAAAACTTTGTTTTATTTAACTGCTATAGGCCAGTTGTTTTGTAGTCAAGCAGTCTATGCAAGGTGATTTTTTCTTTTCTGTGCTTGCTACTCTTTAACTCATTCACCCCTAAAGTCACATAAGAACCTTACAATATCCAAGGACTGGCAAGTCCAGTTTAAAAATGTAGGGATGTATGAGTTAAGCTGTGTCAGATTCCAGGGGTGGCGGTTCTGACACCCATAACTGCCACCCACACCATGTCGTCACTCATCCCTACCAATTTGGGGCATTTTCTTTCAAATCTAGGTATTTTTTTCCCCATCCTCTCATTTGGAAATCCAAAATTTAAAATCTGGAAACATTTAATTGCCACTAAAAATTCATCTCTAGACCTTCTGTTGTTAAAGTTGTAGTTGAAGATTAGCTGTCTGAAGATGTGTGACTTCAGAATACCAGACAGTGATTGTTTGCCTTGAGGGATGTAGCTATCTCACAGAAAGCACATGTGCACACTGATCACTGAAAGCTAAATACCTGGTTATTTTCTGGCATTAAGCCAGGTAGCATACACCCAAGTTCTGAACTGATTTGACCCCTGACGACTAGGGGAAATAACTCTGCTCACATTAAGTATGATTTCAAATAGATGGGATATACACATTTGAACAAATTGAGCCATACATGTATACAGTTAGAATGGCAGAATTTTTCCACTGATGGAAAAAACAGAAATTCTGCACTTTCCACAGTTTCACCCCATCTAATGATTAATGAAGGGTGTGCAGTGTTTAAAACAGAGGTAAGAAACACAGAACATTTTGAAATCATTCGACACCTGTTTTTTTGTGTTAAAAATAAGGGAAGTAACTCCCAGCACATCCCATCTGTCACTAAATGACCCATGGCATTGTAGTGGGGACTGATGTATGAGTTTGTACTGGACCCCATTGCTGGGATGGTTTATGTTGTCTTATAATGGATTGTTCTCACAGGGTTTTCCAGATAACCTTATATCAGATCCATGATCATTTATAACTTCCATGACTTCAAAGAACTCCTTTTCCTTTTTTTTTGTTTTTACTGTTTGTTTCCTTGAATTTTTATCACTTTTGACAAAACATTCATTTCTTGTTCATTACTGAAAACAGGGGCAATATAAATTTCTGATTACATCCAGATTTATACATAAAAAAAAAAAAATCAACAAGGGCTCTTTTTCACATTTTAATTGAAAATAAAGGAATTAAGTTTTAGAATAAAAATTGTCCATGTGTGTCACACCCTATAATGGTAGTGAAAACAACTTTCAGATGTCAATAGTGATAAGATAAATAACCTCTCCACTAATCAGTGTCCTGTTTATGTATACAGTTCACTTTAATGTAATAGTGCTATAAACATAATTTCAAATCTACACAACTAAGTTCATATAAATATTGGTATATTGCCACACTGTAAATCGCCACAAATATGGACAACGGAATATATATAAATATCAACAAGTCAGCTGCTCCTCTATTCTGATGCATCTATTATTATAATATGGTCATCATCTTTATGTTTACTATGCCCTGGACCTATAGGTCACCAGGACTACCAGGACACTGACCTATAGGTTACCAGGACCTAGGCAGGACCTTGACCTATAAGTTTACAGGACCTAGACAGGACCTTGACCAGGACATAGGCAGGACCTTGATCTATAGGTTACCAGGACCTAGGCAGGACCTTGACCTAGGTTACCAGGACCTAGACAGGACCTTGACCTATAGGTTACCAGGATATAGGCAGGACCTTGACCTATAGGTTACCAGGACCTAGGCAGGACCTTGACCTATAGGTTACCAGGACCTAGACATGACCTTGACCTATATGTTACCAGAACCTAGACAGGATCTTGACCTATGCTACCAGGGCCTAGGCAGGACCTTGACCTATAGGTTACCAGGGCCTAGGCAGGACCTTGACCTATAGGCTACCAGGGCCTAGGCAGGACCTTGACAACACCTTTAGGTTGGCATGATTTTGGCCTCACCTTTCGGTTGTTGTAACACTCAGCTCAACTTTACATTTGATATGAACTTGACGTCTGCCTCAGGTTTAGTATGATTTTGATCTCACCTTTATTTTTATTGAGAGACCGCCGGGGAGGGGGTCTTTGGTTGTAAAATCCCTCCTCCAGTCTCTGATAATATTTTTTCCGCACCTTCTCTCTCTGTCGATTTGTTCTGTTCTCCATTGAACTTGGTGGATTTGGTCCTGCAATCAAAGTCAAGGTCAAAGGGAGTTAAAAATCAATATTTTGTGTGAGCATCAATGTTTCAATAAATCCCCATCACTGTTTGTCAATATTGGTGTTACCTACATTGTGTAATGTCACATGCCAAAATTTGTATAGTCTGGCAAGAAATAAAATATTTCCTCAGGAACTCAATCACTTTTGATTGAAAATTCATGTTTCTTTAAAATTGAAAATTGTTGATTCCTAGCTAAAGTGTAAGAAATCTAATGTCAAGGCAAAGAAGTTTCACAGTAATTTTTTTTTTTTTTTTTTTTTTTTTTTTTTTTTTTTTTTTTTNTATTTTTTGACATTCAGTCAAAAACTGTCATTTGAAAAGAACTTCAACACAATCAACTTCTTTAAAGATTTGTTATTTAAACAGTAATACAGTGTACATAATAATAATTTTTATAGGACCTTACATGTTAAAATTGTTATACCTGGAAAGAAAATAATTGATATATTGTGCCTAGCAAATGAAGGTGATTGATTTTAATCACTGCATTTGCCTTGGCTTGACATTTCCTGCCAAAAGGTCATATGGGCGGGACACGCAATTACATTGATCGATAATTACTGCCGTCACCTCAGACATGCCTACAATAACACGATTGTTACCTATCGCAACAAACACCTTCATTTCTAATCACTTGATAAAAGAATGTTGTTCAGATACAATTAACTCCCATCACCCGAGAACCTTATACATAATAGTAAATACAATATTATTAATGTTATATTGTGTGGGACACAACATATATATCACGTTAGACAGAAGATTGGGGATCGTATTCGTGAAACCATTCTCATGCTTTAACTCAAATTCTGTGCTCTAAGTCTTATTTCTTTGTTTCCGGTGATAACTTATCAAAATTTCACATTTTGTCCGATTTGGAAGAATTTTTGAGAGATTTCGCATCAAATACTGTTGTTTACTCCGAACTGTTTGACCATGTCACATGATTTAAGCAAGTTACAGAAAGCAGGTTTGAGCACAAAATGCGTGCTTTCATCTTGTTTTTTGATGACAATGCAAAATCTAAACTCTGAAATAAAATAATCTCTGATGCTCCCCTGTTTTCTCTGGTTCTTCAAATTAAAAAATAACTATGTACGTACATTAGGATTTAGGTAAATTTGCTTTTAATAATTACCTATTCATCTGTCAACTCATAAGGTCATGAAATAAAAAATAAAAAAATCATGCCATCGAATAAAGGAATTCTGTGTAGTACATATATATATGGTTAACCCAGAACACTGCTATAAAACATTAATATTTATATGATGGAGTTGTGTAATATACATTAAGTAAAGCAGTTCAATGCTTTCTCCCAACACATGGTAAAGTGCTGTAGACCTAACAACTCTACATTCTGGATAGGCAATTAGAGCCAGGAATCCAACGTATCAGCTATTTACTCAAGACCCAACACTCAAAACCACCTTGACCTCTAGCAATTCTGTAATGTGCTTTTTAGAATGAGAACACATTTCCTACAACATTCTCAAGAATTCTAGTTGTGTGAATGGTTGACTGAACCCACATTGACTAACGTAACATTTAATCTGGTTAGTTCTCTGAGACATTTCATCTTCCATTACTGCATCGTTGCCATGGTATTATTGAGCATTACGTTACCGAGATAACACTATCAACATTCCACGTATCCATTTATTTTTTCAAATTTTTGAATTAATTTATATCATATTTTATAACATTAAATGAATAATAAAACTGATGTTTTTATTTATGTTCTATGTGTTTAGACTTTTTTGTCATGTTATTAAGTTATTGAACGACCTTGGCCTCCAATTTCCTTCCGCAGGCAAGTGGTGCCTGTTGATACCAGGCTCAGACAAATCCCAAACCCCAGCCAAAATTCCAGCTCAATTCCAGCATGCCAGGTATTTATACCAAACAAACCGCTTTTTAGACTCCCCATTCTGTTTAATAAACAACCAAAATATGTGGAAAAGATGTCTTACAACGAAATAAAAAAGAACCTGACTGTTTTAATTATTACATCAGGCTGATTTCAGAACTGACAGTGTCTTCCAAAAATTGGTGTACATCAGTGGAAAACATATATATTTTATGTAACACTTTTAAATACTGAAATTTTATTTACAAATGATGTTAATGAGAAAAAGGTTCCACAAATAATGATGGTGAAAAGGTTCCTGAACTTATGATTAAGAAAAAATAAATAAAAATTGACACAAATGTTTTATCATATTTATCTGATCTCATTATTTCTGTTAAAGCTTTAAAAAGACACTTACTTGATAAAGCTTGTGTCCTTTTGCTTGAGAACTCAATGTAACTGAAGTCACTTAATTATCACTAAAATATGTAAACTTACAGTGCACATAGAAGACTGTAATGCTAATGTATTGTAGTAGTTGATAAGAACTAACCTGGTATCAAATGTATCTTTCTACAAATTTGGGTTACATTAAATATGTAATATTTCATTTAAAAGAAATAGACTTCTATGGACAGTGGCGGATCCAGAGGGTTTTTTTGGGCTTCAATACCCCTTTTTTTGCTCTTTAAAAATCATGNCGCCACTGTTGGGCAACTGTTAATATACAGTATTCTGTGTGGCATTGACTTATATTTGAACTAGGTGAAATTGAAATAGAATTGCCAAACCATGTTGTATAAGCATTACTATACAACATTTGCCCAGGTTGATTAATACATGTGTAGTTATATTTGAATTAGGTGAAGTGAGACCTATTTGGTACCATCAATGTGTATATAGATCCAGGAAGGTTCATACAGGTTACTGTGTCAGCATAATAATGCAATTCCTATTCAGGTAGACTTGTACAGGTAAATGTTTAACGTAGGTACGTGACCTGCATCTATTTATAGAATATCCCTGGTTGCTAATACAGAGGCGTTCATATATATATAATGGGCGACACATAAAGCAAGATGGCAAGTAACCCTTCATGCTTGTGTAAACAGTGGAATTTCATTCAGACTTTAAATCCAAGAGTTGTATGCAAACTACATATACCATGTCAATTGCTCAACCCATTTGACCTAAAGTGAAAATAGACGAAGAAAATGGGTCAGTCTTACCTGAGTTCAATTACCCTTGGCAATGAGCTAGTGACAATGTATGCCACTTAAAGTGGCTGAAGATAGGTCCGAAACTGACACGGATTATTGACACAGTCACTGGCCTCAACTGTAAATACTGTCTATCAGATGGCAGTTTATCTCTGCTGATGTGTCACCAATATGTTTGATATGTACACAGGAAGTGACATCACAAGGGAATTCCCCTATACACCTGTTCTTACCGCAGTAGACAGGAGAGTTCAATCATTAAAAACAGAAGCCTGATAGTCTGGAAAGAGTTTCAGAGAACAAAGCCTCCTTGTAGATTTTTTTCTGCCTCAACAATATTCTATAATATCTTTGGGAAGCATACATTTTAAGTATGTTTTAATTACACATTTTGCATGCTACTTTAATGTCACATTAAACACTTAATATACTGTTTTGTTTAACTTTTCTTACCTCTGCCACAGAAAATGTTGATCTGATTAATTTCCTGATTTTATCAACCTTCACCATTACATAGTTCCTAGCTGTCACCTTAACCACGTTATTACTAAAGTAGATACTTTCATAAACTTATTTCTCCTTCTGCCACATGAATTATTGATCCATTTAATTTCCATACTTAAATGACCTTGACCTTGTTATCTTTTCCTGTAACATTTTCTCTGTTATTGCATGTTCATGTAACCTTGACTTTTGATATTCTCCTATAATTCTAGCCCTTTCCAGGAGGAACTATTCCAGGAGGAACTATTCCAGGGAACTATTCTAGGAGGAACTATTCCAGGAGGAACTAATTTCCAGGGAACTATTCTAGAGATCATAGTCATGCTATATATCTACATGGATTAGAGTATTGGAGTATGACCCTCAGCAATATAACATTCCTTACATATTCTGATTATGACCTTGGAGTATGACCTTGGATTATGACCTTTAGAGTATGACATTCATTGGTATTACATGCTTTATATATTTGTGATATGATTTTGGAGTATGACCTTGGAGTATGACCTTTAGAGTATGACATTCATTGGTATTACATGCTTTATATATCTGTGATATGATTTTGGAGTATGACCTTGGAGTAAGACCTTCATAGTTGAAACGTGTTCTACAACAATACATATGACCTTCAGTAATACTACCTACCTGGATTGTGAACTGGTCCACTGGGTAAACTACTGCAGCTTGGTGGGGGTGGGGTACCATGAGGGTGTGTAGGTGCCCCCGCAGGAACATGGGAAGATGCCCCGGGGTGGTGGTGATAGGGGTGGGTAGGGTAGTGAGGCGTGTAACCTTGGTAATACTGAGGTGCATTGTTGTTTGGTCCACCCTACAAAACACAAACAAGAAAACAGTTAGATCAACCTCGCAGAAAACAAAAATAAATTATTTTTTTAACAAAATAGAATACTTTAAAAACTATTTTGTATTTACATCAGATTGCACACATTTCTTATCTGACAGACGCTGAAAAGCAACACTACTGCTGGGAGTGAGTTATATCACATGCCCAAGGAATCCATTTGAGGGAATGTTTTGCCTAAAAATATAATTTAAAGTTTAATTAAAAAATAAATGAAATCCAATTAAACTTCTGCCCATATCTTGGCAAATAAATTAGGAAACTCCCAATGTAAAATAATTCATGAATGTTTTGAAATTTCTTCAGAAATTAATTTCTTTGCATGAAAGCAATTTTTTTTTAAATCTTAAGTTGACTAGAGAAAACTTAAACTGGGTCAAATATTCCATTTGAAACCGTTAATCTTTTAGTCCCAAACCAGTTATGTGTTTGACTGAAGTCCTCCAAACAAAATCAATAAATATAATGTGGCAACTGACATTTCTGACTGAAATGTCAGGTCTGTCTTTGGAAATTATATGGTAATAATAATAACAATAATTTGAAGTTCTTATATAACGCTTTATCACAACTTAGTCCGTAGGTCATCTCAAACTCAAAGCGGTTCACACATTATTATCCGTGGTTATATAAAGGTAAACAATGTTTAGTGGTTTAAACAACAAATTGAAAATCTACCTGCCAATTAAACTATTATGATTTCAATTCTTAAACAAGGCTTAGCTTAGTTATTCCATCACCTCCAGATTATGTTTTTTTTTTTTTTATAATATTAAAAAACAAATAAAAACCTTCACAACATAATTTAATAAAAGTGATACAAAGAATATTCCACTAGGAAATTTACTAATTGAAAAACAAACGTACCACATTCTAAATATTGATTTAATATTCCATGGATTATTTTTTACATAACACTTCAATTTATTGCAACATTGTGCATCATATAATTCAAAACACCTCACTAAGATTGACAAAAACCTCCCAGTTGTCTTAACCCTTTCACCACTGTAGACCATAAAGGACTCATCCAGATCAATGCATGGTAGAGTCTACTAAAGTTACATAGGGGTGAAAGGGTTAAGTGAGCATGTCTAATTCAATCAGTGTAATCAATTGTATACTTGTATTCATATCCACTTCTCAAATTACTGTAATTATTGGATTTCGAAAATCAAACATAAATGTAAATGAGTTTGGAAGTGAAAAATCTGTGACTCTGCAGTCACAATTGTACAGCAATGACATAGTCTTGGTATAAAAAATATCAAGTTTAAATTAATTATGATGTTTTGTTGTTACACCATCCCGCCGAACGAGGGATAGGATGAACTGAAGAACATAGTTGAAATGATATTGTATAAAAGATAAAATTTCTAAACACCAATGAAATTGGTGATAGTTTATGGAAAAGAAAAATCTTGATATTCTTTTTGTGGGTATTCAGTTTTGCATTAAGCCAATCTAATTAAAATTGTATCTTCACATCGCTCCCGTTTACTGATATGTCGCGTTGAAGATCTAACAACATCCCGTAGAGGGTCATGTTCAGGCGACCTTTGCATTAACCAATCAGATGAGAGCTTACGCATTTCTGTAAGTGATGAAATAATGATTTCGGAACACACTTGCTATGATAAAAGACCGAGAGGTGTCAAATGAGCATCGAAAATGGCGGCGCCCATGACACCACGCCGTGTCTATCTACAAGACAACATTTGTACAATTTGTGGATTTTGCTTTGAAATAAGAGAGACTTCCTCTTCTGGTGATGTTGTCGTTAAAAAGTTTAACAACCTGAAACTTAAATTAACCAATGACAGGCTTCGCTATATTCAAACTATCACTGGACCAGACGAAAAAGTGGATTTTGGGCTACAAGATGTCTGCATTAAATGCTACAGGTCCTGCTTTCTGATTGGTTGAATGAAAGAGTTATGTCGTGTTTTGATTGGCTTGTTATAAATGCGATAATGTATTCATGTTGACCTCTGACGTGACCCTCTATGGGATGTTGTTAGATCTTCAACGCGACATATCAGTAAACGGGAGCGATGTGAAGATATAATTTTAAGTAGATTGGCATTAAGCATACAATACACAATTCTGTATTAAACTTACAATACACAATTCTGTATTAAACTTACAATACGCAATTCTGTATTAAACTTACAATACACAGTTCTGTATTAAACTTACAATACACAATTCTGTATTAAACTTACAATACACAATTCTGTATTAAACTACACACAAATTAACATTTGACAAGATAAATAGAAACAATATAGTAATGATGTTAAAATGATGTAGGTGAGCATTATTTCTATGTAAGGGATGCAGATATTTAGTAGAATTAATATAAAATTCTCTGTGGATATAGATATGTATACAGTGAAACCTGTCTCATCTGACCCCTGCATATTCTGGTATCTGGTCTAATCCAACATAGGCAATTATATCAAGAGTTCTAATAAAAAAGATAAAACCTGTTTATTCCAACAACCTTTCTAATCAAACCAAAATGAAAAGGCTGTGTTCCTCTGGGTGCCAGATAAGACAAGGTTTCACTTTTACAAAAACATGCAAGATCGAGTCACAGGCAATTATGAAACTCTCAATATAATCTTCATTAGGTAATAAAACTTGGAAAAAATCAATACAGACCAATATACACACAAGTATCAGCAACTGCTGATTCTAGTCTAGATTAATGAGTGTTCTACTACACTGGAAATTAGGTACCAGATTTAGACATCTTGTTGAATCGGCTAACTTCTAGTAATAACAACCACAAAAATATCTCACTTAGATGTCAGTGACTTAATCAAATCCCCACCAAACTACTACATCTATCAAATCTCCATACAATTTACTACTATAATTAACTGTCAACTTTCCAACTATCAACTTTTGAAGGAAAATATATTACTGCAACTATCAAATATCCACCCAAACTACTGCAACTATCAAATATCTACCAAAGTTTCTACTCAGGAATCAAATCTGAGGAGGAAATAGTAACATCAGCTAGTTGACAAGCTGGCAGGAGATTTTCAAACATTTTCCAGATGAAGATGATAAGGTAAACAGTTATGACCATGCACGACCCTTATGTTACAAATCTCTGGCTTTGTGACACTTCATATGTGAATGATGCAGAGAAAAAAATAATGACATCATACAGCCAGCTATAAACTTCCTGCATTTTTCAGATTTCCATACAAAGTTGATGACTTCCACCTTCTGCATGCAATCATCGGCTGTACATATTGGGAAACATAAAATATTTTACAAGAATCGTTAGTAATAACTGTAGAATGCGACAGACACTGCATGATGTAGTATAATTGATAGTATGAAATTGCAGACAGGAGTCTGTGGCTGATGAGTCTGCAAGGAGGGCTAAGAATGCAATTTTATGTAATATGTAACAAAGTGGCGAGACTTGACTTGCAAAATGCTGCATGGCAAGATAAGGTCACATGCAAATGTGATTGCTTTTAAGTGTAACTAGCAATCAAACAGCTTGTTAATTAATATACCTTTCCAATACAGTAAGCCAGGTGTGCTTTGAAGTATGCGGAGCAAGTCCAAATTGGCATTTTATTACCTCCTAACAGAAACAATATCCACACCCTTGATTGCCTTCCAACACCCCCCATCCCCCACGTTGTAAATTGAATGCAGCTTGAAAGTTGGCACTAGAATAATGTCACACCAAGTGTCGTGCCACTGTGTCACGGTTATGACATTTCGGTGAGATGACACTTTAAAGTGGCCCTGAACTCATTCAGCCCTGAAAATTCACAATGAACTGTTCCAACCTTTGAATTAAGAGAGTTCAAATGTGTCTCCAGGGGTGAATGAGTTTACTAGCCCCATCATCTGTGGACACTGTTTCTATTTGACTCTAGCTGTTTTGATGATCCAAAACCCTAATCAAACCTCCCCCATCTCTTCCATTCCTTCACACTATCTTGGAGGTGACCTTGACATGTCCTGTACTGCTTTAAGATAATTGCACACACAGAAAACATACTGAAACACTTCTATACGGCAAAGTAGGAAAATAGTGACTTAATTGTTTCCTGTAATTGGAGAAAGATTGGAAAGATATTATATTATACTGTTCTACCATCAACGAGCTTACGAGACTTTGGGCTCCGAAACAATAATATCTAACCACGGCAATAAATGTTTGGAAATTCAAAGAAAGCACTTCAGACAGTGTATACAAGGTTAAAACCTAACACAGCTGTAACACTCAAATATACTTCATCCTCATTTGAAGTTTCTAAAACAAAAAGTTATATGGTAAAGTTTAACAGCTCACAAATAACCTTCAATTCTCTTTAACATGAAATGTTTAGCAAAAGCCATTTGTCGTTGCAAATTATATTATTTTTCTAATATTTCTACAGAAATAATGCTTAACCAAAACTAAATATTCTCAAGAAAAAAGAAGCATTTTAGATTTTGCTTGAAGATGTTAATGAAAACAAATAAATCGATAACTCTTTCGGTTCCTTTCGTTTTTCTTGTGAACACCAGGAAGTATGAGTACACTGTTTCATTGATGCCATGTGACCTTTAAAAAAACAGAAAACTGGATTTGTAAATGTCATATGGCACTTTGAGGACAAGTTAACTGGTTTTATAAATGTCATATGCCACCACTCTGAGGACCAGAGATCTGGTTTTATAAATGTCATATGCCACTCTGAGGACCAGAGATATCGTTTTGTACATGTCATATGCCACTCTAAGGACCAGAGATATGCTTTTGTACATGTCATATGCCACTCTAAGGACCAGAGATATGCTTTTGTACATGTCATATGCCACTCTGAGGACCAGTGATCTGCTTTTGTACATGTCATATACCACTCTGAGGACCAGAGATCTGCTTTTTTGTACATGTCATATGCCACTCTTGAGGAACAGAGATCTGGTTTTGTGCATGTCATATGCCACTCTTGAGGAACAGAGATCTGGTTTTATAAATGTCATATACCACTCTGAGGACCAGAGATCTGGTTTTATTGATGTAGTATGGTGCACTGAGGATGAGACTATAGGTTGGTATAAACTATATTGCACTCTAAGATGACTAAAGAGGAAGTTGTATTGATGCTCTAAGGCCTAAGTAGTACTGAAAGAGTAAACTTGTAATGAAGTGATGAAGGAGCGTCACCATAGGTTTTGTGTATCATGCAGTAGTTACAAACAGTAGATCTATAAATAGACATGCGCCAACTAAGCCTGTCCCTATGACCTGTGACCTTTGATTGCCAAGATCCATATGTAGTGAAATTAAGCTATTTCAACCTTCATTGTACAATATCCTGTTATAATTCAAAGAAAACGATACATTCAAAATACATTGTTTGAAGTGAAAACGAAACTTGGGTTCAAAATGTTTGCCCTCAGAAAAACCACACAAAAATACATACATTTTTGAAGAGGAAAAAATGATTAAAAAGTGATTTTTTTAACTGGGTTACTGAAGTTTAAATGACATACAATGAACCATCCTCAGAATTGTGGGGTCATAATGCCTTCTTCTTATATTAATTTTATGAACAGGATCATTACGCACCATCTAATTTTATCGAACCTTTGTACTGGTATGGATATATCTGATGAAATAGATTGTACAATGTATCTTATGTTACTTTTTATGTAATAATTAGATATCAGAAAAGGTCATTTGAATGTGAACAACTGTGTCAAATGGGACAGGCTTAAAAGTGTACCGTATAAGACCTAATTAGCATACTCAGAGCATTTACGAATTTTAGAATATGAGAATGTTGGAAAAACCTTCCAAATTTCTCAAAATATAGACATAATGAAACTCGTTTTAAGCAGGTTGGTAAATAATGGTAAAATTATGGACACATGGCCAGAAAACAGACAAGGAACGTCTAAAGGTGTAAGGTGCTAATTAGATTTGATACGGTAATGATGATGTGGCTTTATCATGTTGTATCTACACAAGTCTACCTATATATATATATATATATATATATAAGTCAGCCATACAGCCGCCTCATTCAACCAGCTAGCTAGCCAATCACAAGGTAGGTTTTAGGCACATCCATCGCCCAATCATGAACAAGATAGCTAAGGACATATCCAATCAGCTGATAACAAGGCAGATTAAGGCATATCCAATTGACCAATCACAAGGCAGTTAGACTATAGGAGCAGCACATCCCATCAACCATAATAAGGCAGCTAGCTGACAGTCAGCAAGCATTGTAACTGCCACTTGGTCTTGATTGACTGGTCAATCTTTGACCAGACATGGATCGATTAGCTGGCAAGGACAGGCAGGCGCACCGGACATTCAGGCGGTCAGCAGGACAATGGGCCAATCTGATGAGGAGAAAAAAGGGGAAAAACAGAAATACATACATAGCATCCTACCGTCATAGGCTGTACTGGCATGCCTGGGGGTTGAGGGGATAAAATAACGTGTGTCAGAATTCCGTGTTCGTCCACAATCTGTTGTACCATGTGACCCTGAGGAACCTGCATCGGCATCGGTAATGGTGGTCCGGTGTTAGAAACCATTCTCACTGTGGCTGGACCTGCAAACACAACAAAGACAAGACATGAGGATTCTGTAACTCATAAAAATATATATCACTATTGTCTAATTTTATTCATTAAAATGCTTCCTTTGCGGTATATTCAGTCTGGATGCTTTCATCTCTGCAAGGTAAAGAAAAACACAAGTTTTCTGGATTAATGAAACTGAAACTGCATCAAGAAGATCCAGGACCTGGAAATTTTAAAGATATGTTGTAATACTCCCAGATCCTATAGATCTAGCTACAGAAACCTGTTGTACGGTAGGGCAAGCATACAAAGGGCACCTGTTTTGAAGTGTACATTTATCATCAATCTGTAATAAGGTATATAATGGCTACCTGTCCAGACCCAGACACACCTGTATAATGCCGGTAATTACCTGTCTGTAGTATGTTACACCTGTTCAACACTTTTCTCTACCACATTTTTAGAATTTTGTTAAATAATCTTTGATGTGTTGAGACTGTTTGCACATACTTGCATGTATAATATGAAACCTGTCTTATAAACCAAACCTGTATAAACTGGAAACCTGTATAGACAAGAACTCCAACTTATGAAAGACTGTTTTTAGTTTGATGTAAACGAAATATGTGGAAGGCTTAAATTAAAATATTGTTTGTTTCCCCCCATTAACTTACCCACCACATCCCCCCACCCCCCTCGATTCAAATAATTTCATTTCCCATATTCCACCAAAATTTCATATTTTTTGCAAAGTTTCATACTTGTGCTTTGTTATTCTGTAATAATTTAAAATTACAAATTACAATCCATTTGTTTTCCAAAATAAAACAATTCCCCTGCTTACTAATGACTTTACAACTTGGATCAGTAATGGGGAAAACAAAGACCTTCAATCTTAGGCCTAAAATGAACCAATACTACAGTTGAATTTGGGAACAAATACAACTCTTTTTAGAGAGCAGGACATTGGGTTTGAGAGTAAGCCGTTGGGAACATTCCTCGGAAGCAAAGAAAGTGTATTAAGAGATTATGTTGTCGTTTCACCTTATTACTTCTTACACCTGAGCTGTGACCCTTACTTCCACATCACTGCCAATAGGAGGCCAAATCTATAACCGCGATACCACGCCAACAGTTGGCATATTTAAAACCAATTTTCTCCTCACTGCCAATTTCCTGTAGGTACTGATGGCAGTCCAGGGTTCTTAGTGTCATAGAGTAATGACTATTGCCGGTGTGTATATACAGGTGTGGCTACCTAATTACCACTAATTACTTCACCACAGGTGCGACAGGCAGGTGTGTGTATCTGATAAGTACTGTAAAACAGGAAAATCAAGATATGTCCTTAACCCTTTCACCACTGTAAGCCATAATGGACTCATCCAGATCAAAGCATGGAAGAGTGTACTAAAGTAAGAAAGGGGTGAAAAGGTTAAAAGCAGGTACAAATAAATATCAATTACAAAATTTATGAAAAAAGAAATCTTTACTGTAACAGGAATTTCTTAATTAATCGTTCGTTTGTAAATGCATGTTGCCTTAACGATCTCTCCTATAGGAAATACATCAAAATTTACCGATAACAAAATTTACACATCTGTCCCGTAAAATGAACATAACCGGAGTACAAGTATTTTCTTTTAGAAAACATATAAATGTAACACAAAGGCCAAGTGTCTGACAGTCAGGACCACTGTAAGGTGTAATACTTGTGATAACAATCTCGCAGCGCTGAGAGAAATTTGGTAAAAAAACGGGCAAGCAAATATCAAGGTTAACGTGATCTTCACCACAAAAACTGCATCTGTCGTAAACAAGGTCTGGGCTACAGGTGTTTACCTGGAGCTTTTTGCACCTGACAGACCAGCTGGCACTTTCAGAATATTATTCCCACACCGAAATAAATCCTGTAAGAATCAACACAGGATTGGTATACTTAAGGTACCTGGTACCTAATCTCCCACCATAAATATGCCATTTAGCCAGGTGTCAACAGATCTACTTAAACTTTCAATATAAACAAATCTCCTGAATTCCAGATCTGCACACTCCCACAATCTCATCATGTAATGCATATTGATGCATCACTCAGAGGATCACAAGCTGCACTCTAAGTTGGTTACTCCCAAAAAAGTTAATTGCATCTGTTATAGAGGCCATACCTAGGGATCGAAACAAACATCTTAGAGGAACATTCAACAGCCTTCCAAGCCAGTGAAATGCCCCTATCTAAAAGGAAATTCCCAAGGAGTAAACTTTGTCCCCTAAGTATTTCCCAGATAGTGAATATACCTGTTACAGTGACGTTCCCAATCTCTTCAGTATCCCTACAAGCAGTATAACCTCCCCTTAATTTCGTTATGGATGTATTTGAAGCATGATCACTGGCCCAAATTACTAGTGTTGACCTGGTAACTCTGGGAGGTGCAGGGTTCAAGTCCTGGTCATGTACACCCTACTGTGTATATATATATACATTCAGAACACTGTTGTTCAACCATTGTTTTGAGCTATCTTTGTTTTCTGTTTCATAATAGTACAGCAAGGGATGGTTATCTATTCAGAAAAGATTTACAAAAGGTAAAGTCATGCTAGAAAAAACTTTCCAATGCATATTTTCTTCTTTTGGCAGTGGTACTATACCCCTTACACAGCAATAAGCTACACCCCTATTAACTCATTTACCCCTGAGGACAAATTTAAACTCTTCCAATTCAAAGGTTGGAATAGTTCATTATGAAGTTTCAGGGGTGAATGAGTTAAAGCACTATGAGGTTTGTCCCTCACAGAGTTGTTCCCAGGGAGTGAAATGTACCCCTTATATGGCAATAAACTGCACCCTTTTTACAGCAATTCTGATATGTGTCCGATAAAAGTTATGTTCTCTGGGTGAGATTACATATTAAATCTACCCTTTGAAACATACACTATTGCTGGGCTAACAAGAGCTGCTACAAAGAACTGCATTTTTCCTTTGAAAAGTGAATGTCTATAATGTATGGGGAGTCATGTCTGTAGGGTGGGGACAGTAATTAAATGTGTACCTCTGGTTAAGGTGATGTTAGGTGTACATATAATCTCAATACTTAATATATCTGTCTACCAGTCTCAAAGTTTTTGTTAAGCATTATTCTACATGCTCATTTCCTCCTAGTTTGAACTTCGTATCAGCCTTCCCAAAAGTTCATAAAAAAGCCTCCTTTAAAAAAAGAAGAAGTTTCTAGAATCAAGAGGCCATTTGGTTTCAATATTTTATATAAATCTGGTTATATATATATTATACTCTCGTCCATATTTAAATGTATTCAAATACTGCTAAACTAGAACGTCAAAAGTCTTCTGTTAGCTTATTCATTTCATCTAAAATAAATTTCATTATTCTTTAACTTTCAGTATCATTTTATTTTGCTGGACTTTCGCCATGACCTGTGGGTCGGTGGAATGTGTCATGCTAACGGCACCTAAAGGGTCAACACAAGTTTACAGTTTTTATTTCTGAATTGGCCCACCTTTAATTGTTACATTCTGTGAACCATTTACTGTGCAATGGCCCTATAGGATCTTCACAGTGTTTGATAAGCAATTAAACCATAAACAAACAAACACTGAAATTCCTCTTATATTCAAATAACTATAAAACACAATCTTTCACATCTTAAGACTTTTTCACCTCAATCACCTTTTAATTTAATTTTTTTTTTGATCAAATATAATTTATTTACCCATCGCCTTAACTGTTCCCCCAGTGTTTCCTTCTATTCACAATAATTATGTCAACATCAAATGCATCATAATCCATTTTGTAAACATTTTCTCAACATTAAATCACTGGTTGAAATATTTTAAATTCTTCTCTTTCTGTCACTTAATTGTCAAATACCTTCCTTCATTACTAAGTATACCTCATTAGCATACATTACAGTGTCAACGGTTTAAATGATTGGATGTTAATACACATATCTACAAGTCACATGTTTCCAAACAAGACCACGAAGTGCTCTATAAATAGATTTATATTATGTAGCATTTGACCTACCAGAACTGTAAGGAAGGACAGGTATTTTGCAGTAGACTGGCAATTTACCACCTGCTAGGTGCACAATGCATGTATAAGGCTTCAACAACGAACTTTATTATTCAGGTGACTCGGTACATCAAATATCCTATCAATCAATTCTTGATAACTTTACAAGACTGCCTGTGTGAATTAAATCTGGTCTACATTTCATATTAATAATGGTCAGGGCACAGCACTCAATTGGGTTGAGACCAGGCCCACTTGTTCAACAATCAGTTCAAGAAAAATCATTAATTCCTCATTGAGAAAACTTCATTGATTAACATAATCAGAATGTGGTGTTAGGCTCAGGGTCAATAAACCATCCGTACCAACCTCGCTGGGTTAATCACAAGGTGAACCGCATGAGGGTTTGTCTACTTTTATGACATAACACTTAATACCAAATGCTTAAATTACCAATGATCTTTAAGAAGGTATAGTAATGAGTAAGGGCTGAGGACGGACTTATGTAATCCATTGTCAAGGAATCTTGAATGAAGTTTTCCTGCGGTAGCTACAATTTCACAAAAAGAAAGATATACCTGATGTATATCTTTTAAATGCATGGCAATTGAATTATACAGTCTTACAATCTGTAAGGATTAAGGCATTGACAGCAGAACCAGGACTAGATTTGTATTTCATCGTCAAGGGACAATGAATGCAGTTTTCATCTATTTCCTGTAGAGGAGATAATCAGGGGATTGTTGGCAAGTACACATGTATATCAAAGTTTGATATAAACTTGCATTCCATAACTGCCAGGATCTTGAATGAAGTAATCTATACAAGGAAGCTCTGACGGGTTGATCAAGTCACCAAATTATTGCTCAAAATGGTGACCTTGAAGTCTGGGTATGACCTTTGACACTGACCTGGATATTATTTTTACCCTCTTTTCTAAGGCAGGATGGAGACTGGAAAACCAGAACCAGACTTATCTTCAAGATACTGTAAATTAATTTG